AACCTTTTTCAGGAAGATTTTTGATGAGTATGTTGTTGACTTCATCTAGTCCCGGAGCTTTTGGATTTTTCAGATTTCTTATGATGCTCACGATTTCGTTTACATCTGTTAGTTCTGGATTCTCATCATTGTCTTGTTCCAATGCTTCTTTGACTGCGTTGTTTACTTCCTGTGTATGTTGTGGATCGTTTTGTTCCAGAGGATTTTCGTGAGCTTCACGAAAATACTCGCTGAGTGCGCTGGCTTTTTCTTTGTTGGTGATGAACGTTTTACCCAGATTTGTCAATGGAGGCATTGTTTTTGAACCTTTTTTGCAAAATTTTGCTATTCTCCAAACTGTTTGGTTTGACGGTTGAATCTCTGAGAGACGCTTATTCCAGTTTTTGTTTTTGAGTTCTTTAATTTTCTCATTGATGACTCTCTGCAGATAATTCAATTCAGATTTGAGTTGATTATCTCTGCTTCTCTGCCATCTTCGACGAAGACTCCTTTTTGTGTTGATTAGATCTTTAATCTCCGGTGTGAGTTTAGTTGATTCGAACTTGATCTTTTTCATTTTTACACTTGAGTTCCTCGCTTCCATGATGAGTTCAGAGAGAATCTTAATGTGATTCTCGATCTCATCTGTTGTATTGCAAGAATTTTCTCCAATGTTGTCTTCAATGCGGCGTGAAATTTGTGCTTTGAACTTTTTCCAGTTTGCGTTTTTGTAGTCATATCTGTAGACTGTATTTTCAGTTCTGTCGATTTTTGATGTTTTGATTTGGAAATACACAGCGCAGTGATCACTCATTGCCTCTGTGCATTGAAGTTCTGTTGTTTCGAGGTTGGAATTCGAGAGCATCAGGTCAATTGTTGACACTGATTTGTTTCGATCTTCTGGGTAGTACGTTGGCGAGTCAGGAAAGTAGATCATGAACTCTCCTGACATTTCCTGAAGAATATTTCCTGATTTATTTGCAACGTTGCAGTTCCATTCTCGATGTTTTGCATTGAAGTCTCCACAGATGTAGTAATTTCCTCTCAGATTTGTTATTTTGTTGATGTCATCTCTCAGATGTAGATCTATTTCCCCTCCTTTGCTTCCTCCTGGGAGATAGACTGAGAGGATGTGACAACTATCCGTGTCATTGATGAAGACTTTGATTCCAATGCATTCCATTAGTTTTGTGTTGTAGCTTGGTTGAAGCTGATGTTTTAGATTTCTTTTGACGATGATTGCAACACCACCCTTTGGTCTATCCACGCGATCCAATCGATGAATTACGTAGTCTGGATGCGAGTCAATTTTTGAGTTTGGTTTTAGGAATGTTTCTGAGATGCAAGCAACATCGACGTTTTGCTTGCTTAGGTAGTCGAGAAATGCTAACATTTTGTCAGTGAGGCCGTTAGCATTCCAGTAGAGGACGTTGATACTTTGTTGTCTACAATCCATTATTGTATGCGGTGTTTTTGGCACTTGAGCCGATTGCTTGGAGTATTTCGTCGATGAACTCTGGATTTTTGGCGATTAATTTGAGAAGCTCGCTGATAAGGTACTTGCACTTTGATTCCTCTATTTCTGAGATGTTTTTATCTCTTGTGCTGGTGCTTTGAGCTTGTTGATTAGTTGTTATGTTTCGATTCACTACCTCAACACTGAATGAAGGTTCTGGGAAGACTTCATTCGAGGTCTGACTTGTTGCACTGATGTCTTCTGAGTCCATAAGCTCAACATCTTGCTTTGGTTTTTGATGTTGATTGTTATTAATGCGCTCGTTTTGCTTTTTTCTTTGATTCTTTTTCCAATGTTTTCCTCTTTCTTTATTGTTTTGTTGGTTGTTCAAGTTATTTTTATTTCCCTGATTTGAGGGTTTGTGATTTGGAGGAGGATTTGTGTTCCTTGGTTTGTGGTTGACTGGAACTTGTTTTTGATGAACAGGCTTTTGTGTACCAGATGTTGATGGTTCCATATACTCCTTTCTCCATTGAGGTTTTGGTGCATGTTGGACGTTTCTGGTTGATCTCTCAGGACGATGCGGTGTTGGAGGATTGTTTCTCCGTTGTCCATATGAATAATGGCCTGCTGTTTTGTTTTGATTTTGGTTGTTTCCATTCTGTGATTTTGATTTCCATTTTTCAATTATTTCTTGTCTGGTTTTACAACCTGTGAAAATTGCTGTATGTTTTTCACCGCAGAAGAAACATTTGAGTTTTCCGAGTGGAACCTTGTTGGTCTCTTTCGATATGTACTGGCACGTTTTCGAGTCATGTTGCTCAGAGCATCTGAAGCAAACGGACGGTTTGTTACAACCGTTTTGTCCATGACCAAACTGCAGACATTTCGAACATTGAGATGGTCCAGCTTGTCTATTTTTGTAGTCAGCCCATTTAATTTTGAAACTGCTGACAATTTTGATTCTTCTGAGGAATTCCAGGAAATTTCCACCTTGTTCTACATCTTTTTTGAAGTACACGAGGTAGTTCTGGTCGTCGTCTTGTTCGTGTCTTTTGTGTTTCATTGTCATTTTGACAATTTTTACTGGTGTGATTTTTACGGTTTGAAGTTCCTTCTCCAACTCACTGATTTCCATATCTGGGAGTCCGTAGAGTACGTACTTCTTCAGTGGTTCATGGCTGGAGTATGTGTGGAAGTGATGCTTTTTGTCTTTGAGTAGTTGGATGAATTTCTCGTAGTAATCCCAACTCTCCGTTGTTACCGTTTTTGTTCCTTGTTTGCCCTTTTTGGTCTCAATTAAGAAACTTCCAGGTTGATTGTTTATTTCATTCGTCAATCTCTTGATTTCACCAGCTCCTCCTGTGCTGATGACAATTGGAGGTGGTTTTGATTTTTGTTGAGATTTGTTGTTGTTGCTTTCCGTGTTTACGGAAATTGTCTTTTGTTGCTCTGATGTTTTGCTGTTTTCTCCCCAGTACGAAGAAGTTGTCGATCTTTTTTTCTCCTGTTCTGGTGAACCAAATAGATACGGTACTCCAGAAGACGAAGCTTTCTTCACTGGTGGGAGTACGAACAGTGGTTTGTTCCCATCTTTTGGTTTGCTTTCGTTTGCTACTCTTTTTAAAAGAGCGTTGGGAACTATCACTTCTCGAGGGCGTTTTTCTGCTTTACTTGCTTCATTGAGAAACTTCTTTATTGATATTTGTTTTTTTGGTTTGAGATTTGTCATCTCAATGTCGGCTGCTTGTGAAACATCTTCACTGAAAATTTCCTCAATATTGAGAATTGTCACTGAAGATGAATGTTGTTGTTGAGAACTATTAAGTCCATGCTGATTTTGAGAAAAATTTTCTTCGTTGTTGGTAGTTTTTGGTGATGCTACCATTTTGATGTTTTGAGAATCAAACTGAGATTTTGAAACTTTTTGCAAACAAAAAGCTTCTCAGGTAGTCTCTGTTTTGTTTCTTTTGAGATTTTTGAATAATTTGCGGAGCGATTTGTAAACACGTCTGTTCACGTTGAGATCTAGTTTGCAACTGGGGGAAGTTTACTAAATGTCAATTAAATAATTTTCTCTTACTCGGCACTGACTTATGCTTTGAAACTCACTGTAATCTAATTTAAACTCTTGATTTATTTACACTAATCAATACACAAATGCTTAGTAAAGTTTATTTTAAGATATTTTCTGTAAATTATTTGCGAAAAATTTCAGTGTGTTGTTGTTGTAGTCATGGAACTTACTTAAATGCAAAATTTATTATTAATTTCTTTAATTTTCACTATTACATCCATATGTTCCTTATTCACTGTCACTTTATCTTTTGAATGCACCACTTTTGAGTCCTTTAACACTACTAGTTCCTATTTTATTTCTTAAAAATATTAAGGATAAAAAAATCGTTCTTTTATGAAATGTAAATAGCTCGTCGGGCACTGTTTTGTGTTGTTCATGTTTCGTACTTTATTTAAATAATTTCTGAACTGATTTTACTTTTATATGCTTAATTTAAATACTTGATAACTAGCTTATTTCTGCTGATAAATCAATTAAAAATCAGGTCATAAACGGTTGATTAGAATTTTGAATTTTCAATATTTACAAATTTGTTCGAAAAAATTCAAAATAATTTTGACAGTTATGTTTTGAGGTGAATTTCAAGGTTTATTGAGAGAAATCGTGAGTCGATATCCAAGGTAATAGCAAGATTTGATAGATTAACACCAGTTTGTGAATTTCAGTGTATTTAATTAAAATCAGGGGCGTAGCCAGAAAATTTTTGAAGGGGGGGGGGCCCATTTTTGAAAATTAAAAAACCGTTATTTTGTATCCTTAAATCTATATTCATTCTTCATAAGTTTAAATATTTAATTCATTATTCATACATTAAATACCTCAATCTAGAAATCCCTCAAATGCAGCTACCCTAATATGCAGATAGTACTGCCAAGATGCAGATGGTGCTGCTAAAGTGCAGATGAAATTTATTTTCCCTAAAATGCAGATGAAATGCTGTTGCTTTAAAAAAGGTATAATGCAGATAATTTTTAATAAAACAATTATCAGATTTTCGTAGGGGGGGCCCGGGCCCCCTATGCCCCCCCCTGGCTACGCCCCTGATTAAAATCATTGAAACTTGAAATTCTAAAATGATGCGAAAATTCAAATTTGAAAAATCCGTTATAATTCAAATTTTCAAACAGCCGTTAAATTTCAACATTTCGTACTTTCTGAAACAAACTCTTAAACTCGACTAAATTCAATTTAATTTGATTATTGATACTTTATTAATATAACTTAATTAATATTCCGACCAATATATTGTGATTATGTACATTACATTCATGTAGAAAAAAAATTAATATCATTCGAGGAAAAAGGTAATAAATTTAATTCTTTTTTTGATCAAGTAATAGGCACATTCTGAATTCTTTTGTTTTGTCAAATGCGTTAATTATAAAAAAGTAACAAATTATGCGCGCACATTATTTTTTGTCGTAAGTTTTGTAAATAATTAGATTCAAGTCAAAAAAGACAAAATTGTAATTTTAAAAAAAAAAAAAAAGGTTGGAGATTAGCAGAGTAAATGTAGACATCAGACATACAGAAAAGCTACACGGTATTTATCAAAAAACACATCGAAAAACTGAGATTCTTTGTATTTAACGTCTATGACGACCGAGATATGTTCCACATGCTGGACATTTGTGATGTACATCCATGCACTCATCAATACAACATGGAATTAGACAGCAACCCAACCAGCATCTGAAATGAGATGAATATTGTAGTTATAAATTGATGAAGGCATAAAAATCGAGGTATCAAGTTCTATTCACTCGAAATTCCAATACAGCACATGACATAGTTTACTGGAATTTATCCAGCATTACTCACCCACACAAAGCAATTATAAATCCTGAAATATAAGCCATTAATCCAGGCTGCGTTGTTGTTTTGGTATTAATTTCAGATCCGCATGATGGACATACTGTATGAGTAGAATGTGGTCCTGCAATATTTACAAAATATTATTTAAAAATTCAATCAATTCCATAAATGTGGATGAGATACCTAAAGGGACAATAGTCGTCACAATATGCTGTGCTGTTAAGATAGGCTGTTGTGGTGTAAGTGGTGCTGCGGCATTTACTCCATTTACTGCTTGAAAATAGCTAGGAGGAGCTTGTGGTGGTGGAACGAAGCCTAAAATCAATCATGTCAATAACTTGTTATACAATAAAATTAGTCTAACTTACCATAAGATGGTGGATCTTGCTTGCTCATATTTTCTTATTTAAATTTTATTTGGACAAGTCTGTATTGATGTATATCCTGTAGAGTGAACGATATAATAACAAATGAAAATGTTTTCTCGCCGGTCTTTTGAATAGAATACAATGACATGCTGATGAGTCATTGGAATGTCAAGAAGAAAATTGTGTATGAACATTTCATAAACATGTGACGTAGATTTTTATTTGTGACGTCAGAGACACTTAATTGAGTTAAATATAATTTGTTGCATTTGTGTGCTGTGATGAGTCTTTAGTTGAGTCAACAAAGTCTGATGAAATACTTGAAATTACTGAGCTTGATTGGGTTGGGATTAAAATTAATCTCCGGATTTAAACTTGAGATTAAATTAAATCTTAGAATTTTAACTTGGGGGCCATTCACTTATTACGTAACGCTTTTAGGGGGAGGGGGGGGGTCTAAGATTTTGTTACGGTTCAAACAAGGAAATTTTTTTTTCATACAAATTTTGTTACGATGGGGGGGGGTCTAAGAAGTCATTTTTTCGCGTTACGTAATAAGTGAACAGCCCCTTGAGATTACATTAAATTCTACAGGATTATAATCGAAGAGTCTATAAACTTAAAAGTAGGGTTCTTAGGTTTTAAAGCCATGACTACGCCACTGGATTTATGATCGCAACTAAGCTTTAATGAGCACATCCTCTAGTAAAACGATAATTTATTGTTTGTTTGGGATTTCATAAGATTTGTGTACGACTTGCACGGCTTCATGACTAGCCACTTGATCTCTATGATCTGCCTTCAATGTCCTCATTTCGTAAACCTTTTCAGATTATTTTCAGTTTTAATTATGAAATAAAAAGTTTTCAATTTTACATTTTACTGAACTTAATTAAAGCATCATTAAATGTGAATCAATTATTGTTCCTTACAAGATTGACCTTACGAAAGACAGAAAATGAGTTTTTCAAGCATCCACTAATGAAGAAATTATTAATAGAATCATGACGATTGGTTAGTGCGAGAGTTTTCTTTTTAAAGTATTCACATATGTGCGATGGCCTTGAGCATTGAAAACTAGAGATTTAAAGTGTTTGGAAGTAAGTCTAATCTATAGGAATGCCTAATTTGCATAGCGACAGATGTTCACTAGAGATCTTTTTCTAAGAATTTTGCGTGGTGGTTTTGTGTTCAATAAAGTCACTGTCAAATGCTATTCTATCCACGTTCAATACTTTTTGCATAATTTATTAATCAAATCTTTTTTTTTATTCTATATTTAGTTAAATTTTTTCAATTTGAAATTTTCTTCTTAACATTTTTCGCCTTAAATTGCATTTTCACTGTTATTTTTCATATTTTTTACTTACACTATATTTTTTATGACACTTTAGAATACTTTTTGTGTATATTTAAGCTGCTTAAAATGGTTTATTTAATTATTTAATATGGAATTGAAAAATAAATAAAGTAATTGCGATTTTTGCTGAAGTTCTATAAGCGCCATCTGCTTGTCAAATCTAGCAAAATTAATATAAATTTTGAGATCTTCGAAACTTGAAATTTAAAAATGTAACGGCTGATTAGAATTTAAAAATTTTGCAATTCAAAAAAACTGTCAAAATTTAAAATTATCTTAGGGGGTTCACTTATTACGTTACGCAAAAAACGACTTTTTTCAGCCCCATCCCTTTTCATCCCCCTTGTTACAATATGTTACAACTCACAACCCCCCCCCCCCCCCTGAACGTTCATAATTTATTTTATTTTGATAATTTTTCATATGTATTATGATTTTATTTTAAAATTATGTAAATCAGTTTTCTATTGATTTGTTACTTTACATACTTCTTGACACCCCCCCCCCCCTCCCTATGTTACATTTTGTTACAATTTTTTAAACCCCCCCTCCCCCCTAAAATGCGAACGTAATAAGTGAACGGCCCCTTATTACATCATTCAAATTTCAAAAAAAAACGTCGAATTAAAAAACAAAGTTAAATTTAACTTTTAAAATTCAAATTTTTATTATTTTTGTTTCCTTTCATGAACCGACCAAAATTTAGACATTAAAGAATTAAAACTGTTAATATTTTTGCGCTTTAATTTCGGCTCCATATAAATATCCTCACACGTATGCATGATGGCACATACATATCTTCACACGCATGATGGCACAGACAAGATAAAAGAAATATATTTTAAAAAGTTATTAAGAGAGACGTTTACAGTTTGTATGCTTGTCGAATCATCAGATCGAAATAGCCATCGTTATCAACTGAGGCTGAAACAGCTGCATAATAGTTTTCAAATTCCTCTTCAGTAACAACACCTAAAATTTCAATGAATTTAAGTTCTAGTGCTGAGGAAAAGTAAGATCATGTTACCATCAACTTCACCACCTTCTTCAAAATTCGCGAGGAACTTCTGCATGATTGTTTCTTCTGTTTCCTCGCCACTGATGTATTTTGGATGTGACTTTACCGAGTATACATGCCTAGATCAAGTAATATATTACAAAACAATTTCTATATTGAGATCTAATTGATCAGTAATTACTTCAAGTCATCGTTAGTGATGACCCCATCGCCAGTTTTGTCCAACTTTTTAAATGCTTCTTTAACAATACGTTTGCGCGATTCCGACATATGAGGCTAGAATCAATCAATTTAAATGAAGGCTTTTGATAAATTATTCACGTCTTACTCTTATTCCAAATAGAAACTCCGTCATGTTAATATTTCCCGAGCCGTCAGTGTCGAATTTGTTGAAAATTTCTGCTGCTTCTTCATTTGACACGTGTAATCCAGTGTCATGTAAGCCTTTGATGAATTCTTCCAAGCTCAAGTTCTTATCGCCGTTATCGTCAATTCTACGGAAACATCTGCCCAAACCCATAATGCCAGTCGCACCTACAAGTTGTTTTGAATAAAAAAGTAATTAAAACGACGTTGGTGACTTAATTTTGTGATCATGATGAGATTTAAATGTGCGATGGGTTGGTTAATTGTACAAATTTTACCAACTTTATGTCTACTTTGGCTTATTTTGGAGGAATAAGATGAAGTTTGAGGGTGAAAATATCACATCAAGGATTAATTAACATGCAGAGACACGCCAATTTTAGATCATATAGGAACCGTGAAGCTTTAAACTTGGTTCAAGGTAGACTTGATTCGGCAATACTGAATCTTTAATATAAAGAGCTTCCTTAGAAAAGCACAAAAGCATATGGCTACTTGCAGAGTCATCATAGCCTACACCAAACATTAACCACATCAGCTCCGGACCTGATTATTAGACTTCTAGTAAATCCCTTAACATATACACACCTCTAGCTAAACACAAGTGTCTCAGCTTATCAACAGAATCACCAACGTTGCCAGATGCCAAGACCCTCTTGCTCTTATTCATCATCTCGCTTTCATTCCTAGACATAGCACTTACTGGTCGCATTTTGTCTACAAAGAAAATAAAGAATAAAATCATTGTAATTAAATTCATGTTAATTTAATCGCAAAGGCGTCAATGGACTTCTCCATTCTTAATTATATGCTTCATAAAAACAGAATTAATTCCTCCAAAACGTTTTCCATTGTTGCTATTTAACTTTTTTTTTTTGCCTTGTACTCCTGAGTGCTGTTTAAATAGAAAATTGATTGAAGTACTTCACTTGCTACACGCAAGAAGTAAGATCTTGCCATATTGATTTTCCGTCCTTGTTAGCTATTGAATCATACATTGACATGTGCTTTGTAAATTTCCTAATAAATTATGAATCTCCTTCACAGCAATCAGCGACACAGAGGGGTCATTCACATATGACGTATAAAAATTTGGGGAGTCTGAGATTTTGTGACACGATAAAAATACGAAAAGTTTTTGAAAAGGACATCCAATTTTTTGATAGACGTCATATTTGAACGAACCCAACACTGAACTTTTTGGGTGAAATAAGTCCACATAGAAAATATTAATTTGTTTTGTATTGATTTGGAGTTCTACATTTGAATATCCTACGCATATGCCTTATCTATGCATATTAATTTATTGTGGAACAAAAAATCATTGTTTGATCAGCACAGTTCCGATGAAATTTGACGTGTGTGTATGTGTTGATTATAATTGCTCATAATATTTTGTTTTCGGAGTTGATTATCCCTTAATTTAACAGTGACCCACATTTTTTTTGCCGTCATGCTTTCATGTTACTTTGTACTTCTATTAGGGTTTTTAACAGTTCCTTTTGACTTATAATTCTCTGTCTTGTTGTTGAGTGAAGGATAATGAATGATTGATGAAAAGGATTTATTTTGTAATTTATTTATGTTCTTGAGGTTTTTTTGTATTCATTCACACGTCTACATGTGCGTAAGTGTCCTTGGGCAACTCTTTAGGTCATTGTGTTTGGAATGTGTGTCGAACTTTGTCTTGGAATTTGGAGGAACTTACCTAAAAAGTGCTTTAAAAATTCAATTTAAGCTACATTAGATAGTTTTTAAGCTAGCAAGTAACTTCACGCCACCAAATAAGTTTTACTAAGTGATGGATTAAAGTACAAACCCAATAAATTGCCAATTAATTTAATTTGAACTAATTTCTAAGCCAATTGTCTAATTTCAAAAGTTTAAAACAATAAAACTACACATTTGATGTATTTACAGCTCAGAACAGCATATTTGTGCATTTTGGAATTGTTTCCTTGCTTTTCTATTTGGGTTCCTCATTTTGTGCCTTCAACTCCTACCAAAAAAGCAGCAAAAAAGCTAAAGAAAAATGGTTAAATACCCGTTATACACTCACTTGGTGAGTGGAAGGTAGAATTGTCCGACCAAAAATGATGGTTCATCTTGTAAGTGATTGATTTGTGTAAGATTGTCGTCAAAAAGGGTCCAAACTGTAAACGTAGAATTGAATAAGGATCATGCAATTGTTAAAAGTACTAAGCTAATTTGACTAGTCTAATTAAATTGATCTGTGCACGGCAATGGTAAATTTGAATCTTTGTGGCGTTACAAAATGTGCCAAACCTTTCTAAAACCCTAAAATATTGAGCATCACGATCTCATTGACTTGGAGATTGTAATGTAAAACAAGTGGGGTTCGATAGAACTCAAACCAACAACCTCAAAAGAGGCGATCGATGACCACTCGATCATAGATCCCTGCCACCAAGTTATTTGTTCATTTCGGCTATCCGTCATAAACATATAACCAGTTTCAACGCGAGCCCTATGGGGCCGTTCACTTATGACGTCCAGGGGGGGGGGGGGGGTGTCAGCAAGAAAACAATAATAGAAATTCCTGGAATTCCATTATTCTTTAATGAAAAATGACCGTTAAATTCGGACGTTATAAGTGAACGACCCCTATGCCTTTCTACTACAGATATGCTCTTGGAGTAAGATCCACAGAGATGAATTGAGAAGAATTGTTTAAGTTCTATGGTGTCTTAGCAAGTGTATGGTCTCTATAATCGAGTAATTCATCAAAAGGTAAGAAATCTAAACCAACATTATTATTGAGGAAGTTGTCAGAAATTGCTCCCTTTAGAGTAAAGGATTATAACCTAGAATTCTACATTACGAATCAAATCGTCGATCAGTTTTCAAAATTAAAAGAAACTTTCCAAATTCTTGAAATATTAGGAACAAGAAGCTTTTAAGGAATTACCCAGATCAATTTGACAATCTAAATGATTTTCATTTTCAATAAAATGCGTGAAAAATCGAAGAAACGAACAACCATTTTCACCTCGCATTATATATAGCATAACAAATACTAATATTCAATGCTACATACCATTAATTCCAAAACCTACGATTATTTGATCGATTCTGATTCAAAAATTCTTGCCAAACTTAAGAATATTTACTTCATGCATATCAAGTCAAGTTCAGTCAACCGCTAAATGAATCAATTCGTTGTCTTTGTTCAGCTTCTCATATTTATGTCATAAATTATTCATTATAAGATTTTTGGGTAAGATGCAATTGTTTCCCATTTCCGCATATTAATGAGATCTTCATGATATTTTGTATTTGAAGCTTAATTGAGCGAATCAAAAATGAATAATGGGATCAGATTGAGGTATGAGATTGAATGACAAGAATTTAAATTGAGGAGGAACTGAAAAAATCAATGACTTATGTCACAAAAAACTTTTTTATCTGCAATGCAGAAGACTGAGATTTTGTGAGGATTGTCCTCTGGCAATAGAGGCATTTATAGATTTTAATTGCTTCCAAAATCTTCTTTTTATTCTCTGATGCTAGATTAGGATATAAGTTATACGATTACAGCAAAAGCACACAGGTAGTTATGCTCAAGTCTTCCAACCCTTTACGAAATCATTTCTATTATCTCTTACGACAGACCTTGAATCACATCGTACAAAGTTTTATTTTTTTTTGAGAACTAGTAAAGAAAATCAATAAAACAGAACTGAAAGTTTTTTGTTCCCACTGGATTTTTTCGGCTCGCAAGGACACGCAACTTAAAAAAAAAGCACTTCAATCACTTTTTGGTGAGAAGAAAATTTATATTATTTTTTTGGGTTGGTCTCATTAACATTAATTAATTCGTAGTTTAGAAAAAAAGTACAACAATGAGCACAAGAATGATGTTGATAACCGGTCAGTGCTTGGTACTGAAAATATAATTTTTTTCGCCATAACTAATACAGAAAAAAATTTCGTCACGTTATGTACAATGGGGGAAGAGAAGAGGAAAACTAGGCAAGAAGAATGTTTGAAATTTCAACATCAACAAATGAGACATTGCGTGCTGTGTACGATTTGAGCATAACTCACATAAAACACTTTTGTGTCCCAATTAGTATGATCACGTAGTATGAATATTTAAAATTCCACAGATATATATTATCAAATCCTTAAATAGCTGTTATAACATCTTCAATTTATTTTCAAGGATTTTAAAAAAATTAAATTACCTTAAAAAGTAGCTCTTCCTTAGAAATATCCTTTAAAGTTGTATACTAAGCAATTAATTCACACACAAAAAATATTGTATATTAGAATGGAAATGAGTCCGTCTGATTGCACGATTCACTCAAAACTGAGAACGAAGCAGAGAAACAATTGAATGGAAAAACCTAGCGAGTTGATTTTCCATGCTCTGTACGTTTATTGTACGTACTGAAAATATTTCTTAGTGCATTTTTTCTATGAACAATGAGCTGTAAAAGTTAATAATGTAGGTTGGCTGGAGAGTCGCTTGAGTAGCTGGCTAGTCAGGCGAAACTAAGAGACATGTGTTGAGTTAAAATAATTATTTTGCTGGATCTTTTGGGAATTTGCTAGAATTTTGTTTAAAATTTGGATTATATGTTTTTTACAAGTTCAATACTTATTAAATTTGCTAGAGTAGTCTCGATATGAACTGTAGTTTCCAAACCATGTTAAGACGCACCTACTTTTTCAATCAAATTTACATGATTTTACTCTTCCAGTGCATTCCTGCATTGCTTGCACACAAAAAATGCGCTTCATTGCGCAATGTCAATATTACGATATTTTAATTGTTGTTGTCAAACACATTGCTCACATTCATGATTAAAAATGAGAAATAGTGTTGTTGCGTTATTGTGAACATTTCGATATTAAAGGTAGCTACATACTACAATGGTAATAAAGATAGTATTTGTGTCAAAAACGAAAGGGAAATGAATTAAATCACTTTAATGATATATTATAGAATAAATTTTTTGAGCCGTTATTGTAAGTTGGATGCACCAGACGGTCGCCGTAATGCCTATTAGCTTCCAGGATATATTTTTGTGTCCTTAATGTTGTTTCGTAGGAGAATGTGAACATCTTGAAATTATGATGGCACAAAATCAAATTTCAACATCGGATACGGATGGATGGAGGAGACTGAGAATGAGTATTGATTACGTCGGCTGATTTCGTAATAGCTTTAAATTGATCTTATAACTTTTGGAGCTGAATTATGGATAATTTAATGTGAATCATAACTGAATAACGAAACTAATTTGGGGTCGATTGGATATTGCGTAACGCTATTGGACCATCTATAGATTTTACCTTTGGAAAGATGACATAATTGATAAATATTCAGTTCCAACCTTGATTTTAAGGAGAATTTTCATATTGTGACATTTTTTGAGGTCATTCACATATGTCGTGCTGCAATAAAAAGAGAAGATTCAATATTTAATTGACGTAATAGGTAAATGACCCGTTTATAATTATACAGTCATCCAAACCGATCAATACTAATTTATTTTCTCCCCTTATTCATCCCTCTAACCTCAAAATCAAAACACCAAACCCTCTCAGACAAATGATTTCGTAACAATTAAACAAATTTAAACTAAATTATACCTTAAAGTAGTATTAATGCATGAAAATCGTAGACTTGAAACAATCACCTTGATAGTGTTTATGTTCACTTGCACTAAACTAAGTTCAAAAATGCTGTATTATTCAAAAATATAACCAACAATTTTCAAAAAAATTATTGCAACAAGTTGATATCCATTTGACTTTTAAATTAGCAATTTCCTGTTTCATGTTATTAATGTATCGTTATCCATTTTTCATGTGAGGCAAAAGGAGCATGAAACGGGAGCTTTTAAGAAGCTTTTAAACTTAACGGTTGTGATTTTTTTGAATTTAAGTTGTTGAGCTTTTAAAAGCTTTTGTGGATTCACGCAAAATTTTCAAAATGTTGACAAGATATTTGCTCACAGCAATTGATCATTTGAATCTTCAGCTTACATGAAAATTGGTCCACAATGCCGAATTCTGTTGAAGTAGCACCATAACACAGGTGTCAATGTAGGCTATTTACATTAAAGTTATTTTTAAATCTGTAGCATTTCACTTGATGTGAGAATAATTAAAGTCAATATTTTTTACTCACTTGATACCATAACAATTGATGCTGTATTTATCACATGGATTTTTACGTCAATTTATCTTTGTACTCAATACGTACTGGAAAAACATTATGGTAAATATTGATAGTAAAATATCAGTTCATGACAGAAAATATTTTTCTTTTTCTTCTGTACATCAAAGAGATTATTGGGCTGTTGCTATCATCGTACCATGTGAAAATAATAAATATCTTAACTAAACACACCGTTTGACGACATTCGATGAAAAATAATCCACGTTTTCAACAGTTTTATCTGGATTTCATAGGTTATTTTTGTGGGCTTGACTTAGAGATTGGTGTCTTCTTATCTTCATCTTCATGATGTCTTCGTAGGCGTGTATGATCATTTAACTTCAGTTAACCATCTTTAACAATAAGATGATATCAAATAATGATTAATAAGCAATTAAACTTTGACTTATTAATAAATCCAGTGACTTCTTCAACTTTAAATTGTTTATTTCATACTTAACATTTTATTAACAAGAAATAAGATCGTAGACATATTGTTTTGCAAATAGTTGTCGATATTTACTCAATAATTTTCAATTCTATAAATAGGATATAACATACATTCGAGATTTACGTAGTTTTCCTGAATCTACAGAATTTATTTTGAAGTTTTGTGTATTTTTGTACTTTTCTATCTATATTTAAATTAATCCTTTACCTAAATGATTAGAACTGTCCCAAATTACCAAGATCATTTATCAATAGTTTCATTTATTAACAAACAGTTGCAAAAGGATTCAATTTTATTCATCTTAAACAAAAAAAAAAAAAATCTATTTTGAAAGTCAATAAGAGAATACAATTGTTTTAAAACCTAACCCAAAAAAAATCTAAAATCTAAAATCTAAATTAAAACGAATGTGCTGATTTGCAATTTTCGAAGCATTTTAGCTCCTGAATTCAAAATCCTAGAAAAGATTTCTAAAATTCATTTTTACTTTTATTCAATAATATTTATTATCAATTGAGAAAAAGATATGATTCATTACTAAGCATACTCAACAGCTTGTGATCAGTTTAAAACAATTTTTTAAGTCAAAGATATGCAAATTCATTGCAAAAGAATTCAAATGTCAAACAAGGAAGAAGTAAATTTTCTTATCAAGCCTGAAAGAAGTCAAAACAAAATTTCTCTAGAATGAATCATAAATAATTATAATAATACAAAACGCATAATTACGTGCGCCTGTTCACATTTTCTCCACACTTACTTAAATATTAAGGAATTATGAACAATAAACATTATTGTCATTAGATAATAGTAAATATAAAATGAATTAAAGCTGAGTAGATCAGTTCATTCAAAAGCATAAGCACGGAAGAAAAATCTAGTAAAAACGGGTAAAAACATTAAGCTACACCGGCTTGTATGTCTATATGATATAAAACAATATGTAACAAATAATTATTAGATAAGAACAGCAGTGACAAATGATTACAAATTAAACATGACGTATCAGAATCGCGCAAAAAAATGGATAATTGTCGTGCGAATTTTTCTCTCTTGACTTAGTCAGGAGAGTTCTGTCCATTGTCGCGTGATAAAGCATATCACGTGGCAAGCACACGGAATCAATTAAAGCAATTAATTTAGTGCTCCTATTAAGACTTATAATGGATGTTAATTGAAAAGCAGCAGTGATAGTCAATTTATGATTGGGTTGCTGGAAACCTTTGAGCACTCGTCGCTTAATACAATCTGAATGATTCCAGTTCTAGTTCTTTCGAATCAATAATTTGTGAATGAATACAGCACAGCTACGTATTGATTAATTAATGACTACAACAACAAGTGCTTGATTGCTCTGACGGTCAATGACTTATTGATTGGCACGCATTTCCTCATAATCTCATGAAAATTACATTTTAATTGATATTCAAGAATTTTCCATGAACTTTTCCTACTATTAACTTTGCCTTTCTAAATTAACAGCTTAAAATTATTTTGTTTTGCTTCTTATTACTATTTTGATGATTGGAAAGAGAGAGTTTGTGAGCAGTAACTAAACAATTTATTAAACTCAATTGCTTTTAATTGAGAGAACACAAAACAATAAAATAATGAATGGATAGATGGACTCATATCGTAATAATTGAGATCTTTTTGAGGAAAAAAAGAGTCATGTGAGAATACTTAAGTATTTTATTAAGGTTTTTTAGAAGGAAAGAGTTTACTGCTGCTGATTTGTCTACTTGAGTGCTATTGCTATATTTTTGTGAAAAAATAATAATCATTTCAAGTGTCTTTTAGGACATTTTCTCAAAATCATATCATATAAAATATTATATTGCGGAATTAATGAAATTTAATGTTTACTCAGAATTTACTCAATTTCAAATCAGGAACAGAGTTTGAAGTCAAGCTTTGGCGGAAAATTTCAGTTTTTCTCAACCAATAGCTGAAATGTTGATGATAGAGCAAGTCAAACTTAAAACAACTGACCTTAAAAAATGCGCGCTATTCAAATTCTTTCAAAAACTTAGTTTAAAAATTAAGATTAAATCTTCAACCACCCAAGTTTGTAGAAATTTCTGGAAAACAATATTAATTCTAGGTTTTAAACATCTTGATTATTATTAACATTTATTCCATGAAAGAAATATCTCAAAAAACTTATAAAACATCATTTTCTGCTTGACTTTTGGATTAGAGAATATAAAGCAGTAAAAAACTCTCAGCTTTGATCGATAAAAATACGAAATCTTTTGTTTACTTTTTGTCTATTTTAGGATTTTAAAAGGCACGACTGAAGTCAAAATAAATCGACATGTGTCAATTGAATTGAATTAGGAAAGCATTCTAAAATTGCAGACAAAGTGTGATAGGATTTAGATGATGAACTCTTTCAATTTATTTTAAAATTTTCAATGAGTTACAGCACCATTTGGCTAATCACTTGTTTTGTTGTTAACTTGACTTGCAGGAATATTCATAAAAGGAAATTTTTTTATTTTAAATTCTGGGATTTTAAGACTTTTTGATTTGGTTTATAAATGATGGGAAATCCCAAGAATCATCTGAATGTTATTTCTTATTATTAAGTTTTGATGCTTGGTAACTTAGGATTAATCTTGATGTTTTAAAGATACAAGATCTTACTAAGAAGTGCAGAAATTCTTAATTTGTGTTAAATCTTTAAATAATCTTTAATCTTTTTTTGTCTCTAATTCAAGAGTTTTGAAAAAATAACACTAGAAAACTTAAACAATTCAGGGATGCGGAACTGACGAATTACATTTACGTTTTTTGATCATCTTTGATCATTTCATCAGTTCTGCTTGTTTCCAAAAAAAATAATTAAATATTAAACATAACTTTAGTGTACTCTAGTTTTTTAAGGACTCTGATTGCAATTGTAGAGATTTTAATACGCAAACCTAGCTTTAGAAAATATTCATTTTATTTAAGTAGAATTTGCTCAATCTATCTTTAAAGAAATAATGTTAATCTTTATGATTTATGACTTCATAAAGATAAAAAATCATGATTTGTAAAAATGTTTACCAATGATCTTTAAACAAAAAATATAATAATTGATCTTGGACTTCGATTGATGGTTAAAATTGTTATAAATGAAGCTATAGATTCAACTAGATCATAAATAATGAAACAAATTGTTCAGAACTTTGACAAACATGCCTTTATCGAATGACAATACAAAAGTACACAGTTTTCTAATGAAAACCTTCCTTTATTATTTGCAGCAATAAAACTATCTAATTTTATAATGGAAAATTTCCTCGGAAACTATAGGAGTCAATTTAGAGTTGTAAAAACATTTTTTCAATAAATAGAATTTATGGAAAATTTTACATCGACAATTAATTTATCGAATTGATGAAAATTACAAAGCTATTGATCAACAATGTTCTTCCTTCCAGGTATGTCTATTGAACTTGAGCGTGTGTTTATGAATCAGCTCCAATGTTTATGTTTTCGTTCTCAAAATTCAAATGTAAATAGAAACTGTTTTTAACTTGACGTCATAATATCTGCTCTTTTTTCGGCTTAAATGCTTGTTATCCAGTCTGTTGTGAGCATTAAAAATGAGAAAAAATATTGAAATAAAATTTTGTTGCTACACGATACCAAAAGCACGTAATTCTACATTTCAAAATTATTTGGGTAATAAGTAAGCTTATTATCAATGTCGAGACGATTCTTAGAAGAGTGATAGGACACTGGTATCATTATTTTATAATTTTTTTCATCATATGACCCATTCCCAAGGTAAATATGTGCACAGAAAAACGTAAGTACTTTTACGTCGATCTATTTATGGCTATTGACTGATATTTTTAACAAGTACTTCATAAACACGCATTATATCAAAAATTTTCTTTGATTCTTATCTAATAATATCAGAAAATTGATTGTGTATTTGATAAAATTTATTATTGGCTGTTGTTCGTACTTCAGTTACCAAATGATAATAACAATATTAACAACAAGAGGAATGTAAAGGAATAAATAATATATTGCGTATGTTCTATGTAGTCAGGGTTGTTATGACAGAAAGATAATTGAACAATTTTCTCAGAAAAACTCATTGCATTGATATTAATATTTCATGCTTCAAATGAAAAATTTGTCAAACAAAAATATTTTTTAATCATTCTTATGTCCCATTTGAGTTCGGTACCCTAGAGTACCTTAAATTATTAAGGTTTCAAAGTGCAGAGAGCTGGTGGTATTGGGAAATTAAATATAATGGAGCATGTCACTACTTGCTTATCTATGATGTGGGATAGAAATTGACAATATCGAAAAACATCGTTACTTTTAATTATGGTTATAGCAAGGGGATCTAATAGGATCCGGTTTTCTTTCAAAACAGAAATTCAGTATGAGGCTAAAATTATTAGTGGAAGACCTTTTTGAAAGGCTAAACCTTCTATCCTGTCTTGTAAGACTTTCTGGCTCTTAGATTTAGTGAAATTCAATCAAGGCGTGGAAACTCAGGATTAATCCTGAAAAATCCAAAAAATCCTAAAAAATGAATTTGATGAATAATTTCGGGATTTAAAAGGGATTTTATATTTCCACGTTTATTGGCTCAGAGATTTTTTAGGATTTTTGGATTTTTCAGGATTTTTGGATTTTTCAGGATTAATCCTGAGTTTCCACGCCATGAATTCAATGTTTAATTCCTAATTTGTAGTAGAAAAAGCCCAATGATTAAGAGAACAGCTTTAGTCCAAAACTCATGATAACTTTTGTAAATTACATCGACGAATAATCATAGCCAATTATAAATGTTGTAAAAAAGGTCACGAGTTTGCCAAAAAACCAATATGAATTTTATAACACGCAATTTCATCGAATAAAAATGCAGCTTGGATTAACTGACTTTTGCCATTCGAGATTATAGGTCAAAAAAAGAAATTCGATAAACTTAAATATGGGATATAAATAAAATTCATCTAAGACTAGTGAAGCCCTAGAAACCAGCCCTTGAAAGCAACCCTTGATCTTTGCATAAATCAAACCAATAATGACCCTTAAAAATTTCCTAGTAAATAATCTTAATTAGCAGAAAAATCGGGAAACGAAAGTAGATTATTGATAAACTAAATCAAAACAGCTTTAATTGCAGCTACAAATTCAATAATCGCTTAAATAACTTTCAAAACAAATTTTGCCACAGATGTGCAGTAGCAAATACAATGTGTGAATAAAATAGAAACTGTAAATAAAATTTTGATTGATTTTTAAACAAAACCAAATTGATAACATGAAAAAATAATCGTGAATTTAAAGTGGTGCTCCCGTAAAGTAGGTGACTACGAGGAGAAAAAAAGAGAGTCCGTATCCCATATCGAAAATGATGAGTGAGGGTATTTTTTTTTCTTTGTAGTATAATTAATACATTCTCTGAGAATAAATATTGTAAACAAGAACTGTATGGTATACTACAATAAATGCGAATGTATTGTAAAACATTATCCATCCTCACAGCTGATTCATTTCACATTTAAAATAAATGAAAATCAAAATAAAATTCAGTCGTAACGCGACATTTGATGAAGAAAGTTATAAAGTGAATTAAAAGACATCAAGTGCTTCCTTATAGAATTATTTTTAAAAAATAAGAAGTTTGACGAAATTAAAAAAATTTCGGAAGCAATTTGTGAACAAGAATTTTTTTTGTGATAAATTTTGACTTCTGAAAAGAACTGCTATCTTATCACACGTGAAAGCATTAATGCTTACAAATTTATTGAACATACTTAATGTGAATGTTACAAATATAACATTTCATTTCGGCATGCACTTGAATCAATAAGCGATATAGATATTGTATACATCAAGCAGACATTTTTTTCGCCTTGTTGAGTTAGTTGTGCCTTATCAGTCCGCTGAGCTTGTTGGAAAAAAAAAATATAAAAATTTATCATCGCTGAATGAGCAATTTTGTTTCATTTAATTGCGAATAGAACTGAACAAATTACAGTTTTAAAAAAATAAATAATGTTGATTAGAAGGTGACAAAAAGCTTGTTAATTAAAAGTTACAAATAATTTTTTGAATCAACAAACATCACCTGTGATATAAAAAGTGATATTTTTCAAATAAAGAAAAATCAAAAAAGGAAACGAACTAAAATAAAATTAAAGTCGCACAAAGTAAAGTTTCATTGTTTGCAAAATGACTACCGAGTAAGTATAGATTACTATTTTATGGTCTTGGAATCAGTCTTGATCGAGAAACTAATAATTTTTGAAAAAAAAAACAACAAAAAATCTGTAAAAAGTTATAATTTCAATAGAAACAGTTGAAACGTTACTATTTGGCTGCCATGAAAGTTTTTGGTTTGACATTATTTATTTACTGTCCTCAAAAAATGTATCTATCTATAATATTGATTAGATTTGACAAACTTTACAAATGTTTTAAATGCTTAAAGATTCAATCGAAACTTTTAAAATTTGACCGACAAAATTCTATCCAATGATTCTAGTAGGAATTGTCATAACGTTCATTTAAGATTTAAATAATATTTATTGTAACATACTTGTTTGCCCCTTTTCATACAAATATTCAGTCTGTTTAAGAACTCCGAACTGCTGCGAACAATAAACAACGTTTTATTGGTTTTATTACAATAAAACCGTACCTATGGTGTTACCTTAAATAACAACAGTTATAAAAGGAATTATACTATCTTCTTCATACAGATTCCTGTTCTGTTGCTTGACAAATCAGCTTTAGAATCGAGGATGTAGAACAACAATGATTATAAAACATCAAAACCAAATTCCCTTAAAATCATTTACAAATTGTTATGAATTACCAACTCTTTGCGATAATTCAATAATAAAGAAAATAGCCACCAATAAACACTTAAGAAACGCAATATATCGCTTGATAAAATCTTATTAAGTGTTTTTAATTACCGATAAATAAGTCTTTTTTTAATTTCAAGTATTAGACTTTGGCCTTGAAGACGACAAAATCTCTTTTAAGTATCTAAATTAGGGATTCTTAATTTTTAAGGTCATGGCAAACTCAATTGAAGGAAGCTGAACAACTGATTTTTGGTTGTTTTGAAAACTAGATTCCGAAAAATGTTTGTTTGAATTCGATTTTAAGTATAAAAGATGCATCTGAAAAGATTTTCAGCTAGGAAAACGCAAACTAAACTCTGAGACTTAAAAACTGTAGAAATTTCAGAGAGAATCAAGAAGAATTGAGATGTTTTTAAACAAAACTTCCCAGCAGAACTTTAAAACTATCACAGAACATAGAAAAGTGTGAATTTAAGATTTTTAAAATCTTTTTAGTATCGCTTTTCTATCAGATCAAGAATCAGCAAGCTCATATAGAAAATAATCCCATAAATTCTCAATTTTCAGCATTCATTTGTCTGAAAAAGTCTGAACAATTAAAAGCGATGAATAATCATTAATTGATCAAATATTTTCGTAGTTATTAAAACTAGCTAATGTAATCTATTTTCTTTTGAATGATTGTGTCGATAAAGTAATTATTATAAATGTGAATTAATATAGCGACCCTTACATCAATAGCACGTGCTATTCAACTAGTTTTGAGTGGAAAATTTTCAAATGAATTTTTCTAGTAATTTTTAATGATTATTTAAGTTTTTCTCTCGTAGAGGAAATGTAAACAGACAGAAAAAAAAATTATTGCTTGTAAGGTGGATAAACTCCAACTTTTTTTTGGCATGTTCAGTTGAAATTGTCGAGACGTAGTTTAAACTAGTTTTTTTAAAGATGAGATTAGCGACATTATTTGTTGGATATTAATAAATCCTATTAAATTATTGTTTTGTACAATTCTATAGAATCAATATTTACTAACAATAATAAAGGATTGTCGCTGGCTAGGAAGTCACTCTTCTTATCCACTGCAAACGGCGACTTCAAAACTTTTTTTTCTCTTTCAATTCCAATCCATATCTTGTTGCTAAGGTGCTGAATTTGAAAGTCCAAAAAGAGTCTTAATGATTCCCAAAAACAGATGCAAATTTTATGACTATCACAAAAAAAAAATTATTATTCCGTCAGCACCAGTAGTAAATATAAACAAGTTTTGGAGATGCGAAAATTTGCCACAACAAAAAAAAAATGTTTATGGACTATAACCTGTTCTGGGTATTTTCTCTTCATAATTTAAGTATTTATTTGTGGTACATTAGCCTCTAATTCATGCAATCCATGTCGCTACCATGTGATTAGGTGGTTGTTCATTTATGATGTCTATTATTCAGAAAATAGACGGGTTAAATCTATTATAAATGAGTTTAATGTTTTAAAACTTAAGTCTTGGTTGTCAAAATTTGATAAACGTCATTAGTGGATGACCCCAAATCGGTAAATTTTACTCACTGGTGACTTTGACGCTGACTATTAGGGAAACATCTAAAAACAACTTTAATGGGAATTTTACATTGATTCTTTTGAAATAAAAATGAAACCAAAGAATATTTTAGACAAAATTTAAAGATTGTCAAGAGTAAAAGTAAATGAATATTGATGACATGCAAATTCACTTGTCAGTCTTCACAATACTAATTGGCATACATGTCTGTGAACAGTAAAGATTGTTGTATACTTTATGCATTTCATTAAAGTGGCTGATTGAATATTGATCTTGGATGTATGTGACTGAATGTAGATTATTTGTTAGAGGATTTAATTGCCATGAACCCATTGAACCAAAATGTTTATCTAGGTTACTGGTAAATGGTGACGATTTAGGGATATCTAATGAGTTTTTGATTGTCAAAATTCAATTTTTAATCATTTGATTGAATAGTTGACATTTTCAAGATATTGGACCTCAAATGGTATAATAATAGAACTCCGGCAACCAGTCAGCATCAGACTCTGGCATAGTACTGGCTTCGATTTAATTCCAGCACCATGTCAGAGTCACACCGGCTTGGTCCCAGATTTTTGATCGATTAACCGACTTTTGCTATTCGGAGACGTTTGTTAAACCTCAACTTGAGTACAATGATCATTTGGCTAGATTTTATATTTATGGATTAATTAAAATTTCTGCTCAATTTGTGAGAATTCCAGTTCTAATTCTATTCATAAATAATTAAGAATTCCTTACGACCCTGAAAATGATTTTTTTTGAATCTCTACAAGTTCTCATTTCCTGCGGATTACAGAACTTTAGAACAACCAGAATACTGTGAAATTTCGGATACAAAAACTTAGTTATTTTAATTTTGCAAATGTTAACAATTCATATTAAAATATTTAAGTTTTTATAATCTGAAAATTACATGTTTGACAATACCTTCTCCCATATGGAATAATCCATTTTTTTGCGCGTGCTGTATAAATTTCGTAATGATCATAAATCGTTTCTTTTTTAAATGCGTGTGGATATTTCATAATCTTCTCGTAATTTTACTAGCGCTTCTTCAATTAAATCTTCAATTTCAACTTTGGGAGTGAATTTTAAGTTCTTACTGTATTTTTAAGACATTAATGTCAGATTTGAAATTGAGACGAATTTTAAAATTCGCTAATTCCCAATTTAATATAAATAAATACACAAAAATATTAAAAATTCTACATATTCATCATTTGACATTATTCATCCTACACAAGTTCCTCAAAGAGACTGATTCTCGACGTTTCATATCGTTCCTTTCTCTTAATCAATAAAAACAATTAATTTATATATCAAATTTCTTTATTTATCTTCATCATATGTGTTCCTTGTTTTGCAACTTGTAAACAGTAAACAACAACAGAAAATCTCATTGATTGAGAATGGCAATGGAGCAACAATGCCACAAATTGTAAAGAAAAATATAAATGGACATCCAACGCCGGTGCATACAGAAACAAATAATTGCAAAACAGAACGTGGCAAAGCGTTTAGACAAATTTTAGCAGCTTTCGTAGCTAATATTGGACCAATGAATACGGGTTTGATTTTTGGATTCTCAGCAGTTGCTATTCCTCAGTTACAGTCAGCAGCATCAACAATACAAATTAATGAAGATCAAGCATCATGGGTTGGTAAGTTGGAAACTCTTTTTTTGTTAAAATGTTGTAATTATTGAGTTCTGTCATGCTTAACGTGGTTCAAAGCTAGTTTGAAGAACACGTGGACGGAAGGATATCAAGTAATCTAAATAAATTAATAGCAATTGAGGTAGATAAATTAAAGATTATTATTGAACTTCATTTACAACTGTCAATCGATCCTCCTTCCTGATCGATTCTATCGATTTCTCTTATTTATGAGCTGACATTCAATTAAATTGCAAATTTTCCTTCCTCAACAACGACTGTATTAAAATGAGAAGCGTGTACTACTCATATGAATAAGCGAATGTCTATGACACAAAATTATATCATCACAAAATCCACTAGAAATGAATGTAGTGTAAAAGAAATTACATCTGACGAGATGTATACAATATACATGCCAGATTCTTCTTGTGAGTAATTTAAAAACAAAGAGGAATCTCCTTCTCGTCTGTCTGCTAGCAATAAAAGAGTAAAACGAGCGAGAAAATTGTATAAATTTAAACATAAGGCACAGAAGTGTAGGAAATAATGAATTGTGTTGTCTCACGTGCTAAAATCATGAAAATATTTGCATTCATTCTTTATAATTAATGATGGAATCAAGATATATAGATGTGCTCATACAAAAATATCGCAGTTTTTAAACGTCAAAAATTTGAATTTTCTAAAAACACTAACACTATAAAAGAAAATTTTTAATTTTTGTTTTGCAAAATTTTCAACTTTCTGTTAAGTTTTGTTGATACAGGAGTATTGCAAATGCTTTGCTATAATTTAAAGAAACTGACTTAAGACAAATGTTGTTGCATCTGTCGATATTTAAATGAAAACTTGAAAATAGAAAATTTTAAAAATTTTTGTTTGTATAAGTACACAAAAAATAGTATGGTCGAGTATGGTCAAGTATACTCTGTATGAGCCCATCTATATATCTTGGATGGAATAAAAAGGGTTTGTTGTTGCATCGGGTAAAAAGCTTGTGATAAGGATGGTGTGGAAAGCAAAAGTTTTTTTTATTGTTTTGTAAAAAATGATTTCATTTCAATTATTCATTAGGATGTTTCAGACGATTTTGTGCTATTAAAATAATTTTTAAAATGAAATCACGCTTGTTCATGATTAGTGCAATTGGCTAACAGCTGGTTTCTTTGTTTTGGATAAAGATACTAAATGCATTAGTGTGCAAAATATAAATAAATTCCTAATATTGTGAGCTAAAGTAGATTTGAAGCTAAATGATGTAATAATTAATTCACGTTGGTCAAGTGATTCTAAGTTCGAAACTAATTACGACCTGTAAGAGTTTAGGGGTCGTTCACTTATAACGTCCAAAATTAACGGTCATTTTTCGAAAAAGAACAATGGTTTTCCTGGAATTTCTTTTGTTATTTTCTTGCTGACCTGGACGTCAAAAGTGAACAGCCCCTTAATTGTTTTTCAAATCAAAGTCAATAAACTTAAACTCACAACATTTTTTTGTAAGCATCAAATGTTCATAAAACTGGAAAACTATTTTCGTGAACTAAAGAAGCTTAGTTTAAAAGTATTACAGCTTAAAATCCTCACTATAATTTCTCTAATATTGCATACATCCAAGATATATAGATGGGCTCATACAGAGTATACTTGACCATACTCGACCATACTATTTTTTGTGTATTTATACAAACAAAATTTTTTAAAATTTTCTATTTTCAAGTTTTCATTTAAATATCGACAGATGCAACAACATTTGACTTTAGTCAGTTACTTTTAATTATAGCAAAGCATTTGCAATACTCCTGTATCAACAAAACTTAACAGAAAGTTGAAAATTTTGCAAAACAAAAATTGAAAATTTTCTTTTATAGTGTTAGTGTTCTTAGAATATTCAAATTTTTGACGTTTAAAAACTGCGATATTTTTGTATGAGCACATCTATATATCTTGCATACATCAATAAAAGTCTAATAATTTTCAATTTCATTGGCATAAACAATTAAAATCTCAAACCTATTCAGCTTCTCTCAATCATCTGTCCAATTCTCTTTGATGATCTCACTTTGCTCTCGCAACAAATCTGCACTTTATTGCCCGATGTCAAGAGTAAATTAAATTCCTAGTTGCATAAAAAAAATCTCGTCATTGTCTTGATTCATCTTTCAATTCTTATCATTTGATTCATTATTTGTATGGAAGAAATTAAAACAAATTGCTCAGCATAAATACTTGTGATGACTATAAATAACAATAACACATCAATAAATTGTAAATTTAGCTGAATTAAGTTGATTCATGTAACTATTTGTATTGACTGATAAGATAAGGCACACACCTAATGTGTGAAACTTAATATGACACAAAAACGTCACTTAGAAACAAAAGAAAATATCCAAAAAGTGCGAATATGTGTCGATTAAAAGAAGCTTATCTTAATTCTCAATGGTCGCAAAACGAGCTGTTTAAGAAAACACGCCAGATAATGAATTATTGACTGATAAGGTCAATTAATAATTTTTGAAGCTTTTGTGGATTGTTTAATGAATCTGATAAGAAAGTTACTATTTGACTGATAAGAAAAACAATAAACAAGCTTAAGTGACTGAAAATAAATCTTGAGGATATGCAAATATGAATTCCAATGAAGTGACGTCATAGTGACTTTCTTGTTAATTGCTTTATTAATGGATATTTTGGTAGACAGTTGCTGGAAACCTTCTTAAAAGAAACAAAAGTTATTTATTTATTTCGATGAAAAGGTTTAAAGACCATAATTCAACAACTTGAAGTGCCTTTCCAAAATGTTTTTCATCCTCCAATTACGGTTTACTAATTGACTTTGAAGTAGTTCATTCAAAGGAAAAGATAAAAGTCATTTTTGGCAAGATAGGAAAGACGGTGTGGGATTAAATTAGCTGTTACAAGACACGTGCAAGAATCAAAGATTGTATCTTATTGTTGTCATGTTGTACACGTTTTTCATTGTAGAAAAGGTTTAAGTGTGCCATAAACTACGAATGCTACATTTACAGAAAATACTCCACATGTTTCTATATTTAACAAAAAGCAACAACAATGAGGCATAAAAGAGGATTAAGAATTTTGAATTATTAAATTGGAAAAATTTATTGTGAATTTCTTTGGCATAGAGACGTGTTCAATCGCTTCAAGACTTAAATTTTCTATTTTTCCTGTAGGAATTTGTAATAATGTATGCCTTTGTTAAAAGCTCGTTCCTTTATTTGACATTAAATTATATTTTCTATCCTTTAAATCTGATTTCTTTTGAAGAATTGGACGAGTGCCAATATTAAAATTGCAGTCAGAGTTGGGTGCTTCATTTTTGATGATTAATTCTTTGCGATAAATGATCATGATGAAATATCCAAGCCATTAATCGAGATGTTAGATAACAGATTCAAAATCTATTAAACTCGCTATTGTGAAAAGATTCGAATCCTCCTAAAATTCAGACTGAATCTCTTAGCTCATTTGCACGAAACTCATAGTTTTTTACATTCAAAGTTCTATCAATATTTTAACAATCAACTCTGAAGCACATCCACAAATTCCACCTGTAAACAAACAATGAGTGAGAAAATTTGCAACTAAGCCAAATGACACAATAAACAAGGCACACTCTCTTTCATTTTTCGTTAAAATGTTGCTCGAACTAATTTTCTAGATCGTCAACTTCCTTATGTGACTAGTTTAAGATTCAATAAATAAACAATAGTTATCCTTAAACAGGGACGTAGCTAGCAACCTTTTGGAATAGAAGGCATTTTTCGCATCTAAGTACGGTCCATTTCCTTTCCTGTTCATAAATATCTCAATAAACCTAATTCCTGCATAAAAGTTATTTGACATAAAAATTGATGACTTCAATCATGTTTTGGGTTATTTGTGCCGGATAACTGACCTAGTATAACTTTTTACGATGTCTGTACGAGAGAAAAAAATATATACTCACAGCACCTTCCTTATGTCAGAGCTCAATAAACTTATAATTCTCTTCTTTCTATTTTTATATTCATGACGTTGACAATAATCTCTTACTCCTTTTTTGCAGCATCACTCTCATCACTATCTACACCAATAGGATGCATTCTCGGTGGTTATCTATCGGACAGAATTGGAAGGAAAAAGACATTGATTTTTACAGAAATTCCATTAATTCTTGGATGGATGATTATTGCCTTCGCATCACAAATTGAGATGATTTACATTGGACGATTGCTTTGTGGTTTAGGATCAGGAATTGTTGGTGCACCAGCTAGAGTATATACATCAGAAGTAACACAACCACATTTGCGTGGAATGCTGACAGCGCTCTCATCAGTGGCACTTTCGTTTGGTGTTTTAATGCAGTATACACTCGGTGCATTTCTATCGTGGCCAACGTTATCAGCTGTGTCATGTATTGTGCCTGTAATTGCATTCATTGGAATGTGTATGCTCCCAGAAACTCCAAATTACCTCATAACACATCAAAAACCTGAAAAAGCCTTAAAGTCATTGACGAGATTGCGTGGTAGCTTCTATAACTTCCAAAAAGAAATTAATCAACTTCAGGCATTTGCAGAGAAAACGAATACAAAAAAGTAAGTGACAAAACGGATGTCCTATTAATCATTTATAACCTACAAATTATGTTTTTTGTCTATAAATTAATAGGAAGCCTACAGGAAAGGAAATGCTTGATGCCCTTTTAGCGCCATCATGTTTGAAACCATTTTTCATCCTCGTTGTATATTTCATGCTGTATCAATTTAGTGGTGTAAACACAATTACATTCTATGCTGTTGAAATCTTCCGAGATTCCGGTGCCGATATGGATAAAAATACAGCAACAATTATCCTTGGTGCTTTAAGATTCCTCTTTACAATTGTTGGTTGTGTTGCATTGAGAAAATGTGGTAGACGACCACTGTCATTTATATCTGGTATTGGATGTTGTATAACAATGTTAGGACTCGGTTCGTTTATGTATTATAAGCAACAGTGTGAACTACAAGGTATTCCAACAATGCATACGTGGATACCTGTGGCTTGCATCTTCATTTTCATTATCGTAAGCTAATATCATTTTTATGGAAGTTATAAAAAATTAATGATGGAATTTTATTTTTATAGACATGCACACTTGGATTTTTAGTCGTTCCTTGGATAATGGTAAGTTCAATGTTACTTCCTTTAGGAACTTTGTCTTATTTTTAATTATAATAATTAACAGATCGGTGAACTCTATCCCATGAAAGTGAGAGGAATTGTCGGAGGATTTACAACTTGTGCTGCACATTCATTTGTCTTTATAGTCGTCAAAACATATCCACTTCTGTGCCATGGAGTTGTAAGTACAATGGGTTGTTGATTGATATCCAATTACGGACTTTACGGAACTACTTTTTGTTTACAGGAAAGACACGGTGCTTTCGTAATTTATGGACTTATATCATTTGTTGGTAAGTCTTTAATCTGGAGTTTGGAACAGGATTTACTTTAAGAATCCTGCAACATAATTCCTCACACCTCATATTCCCAAATTTCTCTAACCAATATCAAATGTCATTTCAGCAACAATATTCTTCTATTTCTATTTACCCGAGACGAAAGGAAAGACACTTCAGGAAATTGAAGACTATTTCAGTGGCCGTATAGCTTCACTGGATACAAAGAAACTTGAGAAGATAAACAATAATCTTAACAACAATATCACAAATAATAACAATAATCAAATTGTCCTTATAATGGAGAGCGAGAAGCTCTTGAATCAGAAGCAATAAGTGGCTCTGTTCATGTCGTAAATGACCATCACTCATATCACTCACGTTTTTCATAATTTTATCTTTTTCTTTTGTACTTACTTAATAAGTAGTGATTTTTTCTCTTTCATTTCCATTGAAGTTAAATTAATTATTAGACTGCTTATATAAGAAGAAACTGTTAAAAATTATATGTAGATAGTTGATGAAATTAGATAGGATATTTAAGATTTATGAAAATATATTAGACTGTACAAAATACACAAATGCTGTCAGTATTTGAAGGAACATAGAATTAAAAATTATATTTTTGAAATGACAATTAAACTTTATTTTTCGTTTCATTTTGGGAATCTCTTACAGGATGTTGTTACTCCTTCTCAACATAACATAGTTCGAGATTAAGAATATCATCAGCCAGTAAAATCGTTTCCCTTAATTCATTTTATATCCATTACAAAAAGATTTTTACATCTATCTATACCAAAACATACATGTCAGCCATTAAGTTGTGCGCCTCATTTTATCCAGCAACTAATTTTTGAAGCTCCTCACTCAGTTCCGCCTGATCGATTGGCTCTTTCTTACCATTTGATGGAGCTGTTGCTATTTGCGCTGGTTGTGATGATAATCGTGCACATTCCTTCTTATGGATTGACCAATGAAGACGCTGACATTCACGATCACAATATTGCACTTGTTTGCATTTTGAGCACTTCTTGTCAGGCTTTTCATCTCCGCATGTACTGCAGAATATGTTGACGTCCTGAAATCCTCGTTGTCCATTGATGGCTTGTTTGATGATTTCTAAAGCTGTAAATTGATTTTCTTTGTCTGCTAATTGACGAACGACTTGCTGAAATATCATACATTCTCTAAATGGAAACTCTCTGACACACTCACGAATTGTAAGTTCCATGTAATCCATTTGTCCTTCTTTGTTTTGTTTCATGACACGCTTAATGTACATCTCTAAATAATCCGACTTAGAATCCTTTTCTTGATTTCGAGCTAGAAAATGATCACGACATGAAATGATTTCCTTTATAATCCATGATAAATAATGATATTTAAATGCCATAAGCTCATTTGTTTCACTCTTCCTCTTCATCTCACGTTCAGTCATAAGATCCAGTACATTTTTAACGATTTTGTAATTATCTGATACGACTCCATATTGTTGAAGATTTAAAGCTATTCTTGTTGGATGAAGATTTGGGTGAATTACAAATTTATGGAACGAGTCCAGTAGAGCAGGAGGAAGTGATGGTTCCATTTGAAGTCCTTGAATTTTTGTATAGTATTCAATGTCCGATTTAGATACAAAATTATTTATTGTTGAAACTGCTTTGTGATTTGCCACAAACGCTCCCATTTGAGCAGCTGTTCGTCCAACAGAATTTAATGTACTTGGATTGGCACCAGCAATAAGAAGTTGTAAACAAACATCAGCATTTCCAGAAAGTGCCGCGAAATGAAGAGCTGTATAGTTGAATTCGTGTTTTCCTGAATTTACGTCAGCACCAAGGTCAAGTAATAGCTGAACACCTTCTTTATTTCCTTTATATGATGCATGCTGAAGTGGTGTCATTCCTAAAAACATCCAGGATACAGAAAAAGGAATGAAAATTTGCAACAAAATTAGTTTTTGTGATTTTTCACTAATTTCTTGAGGATTTTTCGAACTTACCATTATCATCTGTGAAATCGATGCTTCCATTATATGCTGATAACTTTTTCTTTAATTCATCCACATCACTTTTAGCGATACAGCTAAATATTTCTTTTTGTAACTCAGACATGTTGATGCTAAAAATATTCTAGCACTTTTCCATGCGATGCTAAAATTTTGTGCTAAAGCTTACAAAAACTCACCACTCTGAAGCACGTTTAGTGGTGAATAAAATGTAACAAATAAATAAATTTTTATGGAGTATTCACAGAAATGGTATTAAAGAAGAGCTGATGAAAGCATTATCTAGGTTATCGGAACTACCGTAAATTATTAAGAAGATTTTAAAATAAAAGATTTAAAAGTTTCCGTTTTGTGATGAAAATAAAAAATTCTCATTGAGTCTGAACGACTTGATTGAATGTGGATTGGGGCGCATTCATTTATGATGTCCTTCAATTAGAGTTTGGAAGTTTAAATTCTTGATAGAAGCAATAATTGAAAGACTTTTAATTGATTAAATCGTTTTTTTTTGAAGAAAATTGAGAATTTTGAACTAAGCTCAGCTAGACAGTTTAACCCATCACATTGTTCTCATCATAAAATTGCTTCCTAAACAAACTTCAAGCTCTTGAACTTGAAAAAATAAATAAATCAAACATCATCATCGTAAATAACTCAACTGCGATCTCCACTTAAGCGTTCTCAGAGGCAACTAGTCATGTACTTTTTGTTATTAGAAATACAGACCCACATATCATATTTATAATAGAAATCACCTAAGATGTATGCTATCTGTCTACATCTCGATGTTTGTGATTTGTTTAAGGATGGCAAAGTGTGCAAAATAAAAAAGTTTGTGACTGAAAACAACACATGACATATGTTGAATGTAGAGCAAGTCATAAAAAAAGTCAAGAATGTGTGTAGGAATAGGAATAATAGTATGCAAATGAATAATAGAAAGAAGCATGCTGTTAAAAAATTGAATGAAAAAGACTTTTTTAAATCTATGGAAATCGCACGCAGAGAGGAATTTAAGGGGGGAAACAACTTGATGGGAAAAGATTTTTATTTATTAAAATTTCAAAAAAAATCTGTCAGAAAATTCTGAAAATTTACGACCTAATTTTTTCCTCATCATGTTGTTATCCCCTTAAAAGAATTTCACTGCATAGCTGTTTGTACACAAAAGTTTCTTAAAAATAAAGAAGCTTAAAAATTTGCATTTTTATTATCTCATTTAAATGCTTAGCAATTTATTGAATATTTTCATTGACTATTAATGAATGAATTTTTGAGAAAATCCCACAAAGAAATTTCATCCGTCATTTTATCGAGTCCTTGGAACAGTTTCTCGACATATAGATGAGCATCCTTCAAATCGACTTTTTCAGCTGTTTCGGTAAGGATTTGGATGAGATTTGCTTTCGTTATCAGAACATCCTCTGATGGAATATCATATGAGCAATTACAAAATTCCCTCAATGCCTTTTCCACTTCCATTAAATTTTGATTTATAAATCGATTCGTCATGATTGGTGCATGATTGATAAAAAGCTTCATCAATTCCTCAAATCCAATTTTTCTCTTTCCATTTAAATGCAATTCGTGATTAATACATTCAATTTCATAATCTGATGGATAGTAACCCAAACCACGAAAATAATCTCCGATTTCATTAATATCCAGTCCGTCCTTAACCTTTTTTCGATCAAAACAGCAATGAGATTCAAAAAACATTTCATGTACCGTGCGAAAGGGATGAGAAAGTAAGGGAAAATATTGGTGTAAATATGAAATATGTATAAGGTAGCTTAAGCAAGTAAAAGATACAAATTGATGTGGAATTTAGGCGAACTTTAAAAGTAATTTTTCAAAACTGCTATTTGATAAATAATGAGGATGCAAGAGCATAGCAAAAAGAAGTCAAAGATCATTAAGATCTTATTGGGTTTGGAACTGATCGAATTGATTAAAAACTATCAGTTTTGCACCAGACTATATAATTCCACATGACTGGAGATCTCCCTATAATTGCCATATGTGTATACTAATGTAAAACAAGTCTGATTCGATGGGAATCGAACACACGACCTCATAAGGGGCAATCTTTGACTACTCTATCAAAGATTCCTGCCACTCGGTCATCGAGGTACTTATCTCACTTTGGCTATCCGTCAAACACATACTTAAAACCAGTTCAACGCGAGCCCTTTGCTCAGGCCTATCTACTACAGATGCTCTTCGAGCCATATCTACAATGACAACTTCCTGCTTTTGTTTATCAACTCAAACAGCGTCAAAACAAATTTGCGTCACAAGACACGTTTAGCACATGATAAACTATCGTGCACTATTTTAATTAATTTTGTAAATCAGGTGTAGTTTTTATCAGCTTCACGTGCCGTAATTACTGAATATTATATAACAATAGACTCGATATTTTGAAATTTTAATGATGGAATAATTAAGGACTTTTTTGGACGCACTAGAAGTGCACTAGCTATGACAATAATATGCACAAAACTCATTCTGTTGATAATCAATTCATTATTATCATATCAATACAAAGTGAATGCCAAAGCATATCCATCAAACAACATCACATTCAAAATGGTTTAAGGATGTGAATTGAAAAATGTTGTAGGCAAATATTTTCATAGGTACTCACAATTCGATCATCGAGCGAGTCTCCATTGGTTAACATGAGAATATAATAATATAAATCTTGCATATCTTGAAAGAAATTTCCATATTTTCCTCCGGGTAGTAAATCACAGTATGGCTTCAATCCACTCCCACCTTCGTCAACATGATCAAAAAGGGTTCTATTCATATTGTGCAGGAAGAAGGAGACAAAATAATATAAAGGAAAATAATCAACATATGAGAAATAGAATAAACATACTGAAAATTAATGTGCCACATGAATAGCGATTGACATTTATGTCCAATTGTAAATAGAATATGTCGAGTTGAATCAGCTTTAATTGCTCTTATTCCGTCAGCATGACCGATGACACCTAAACTTCTGTACGGATTCCCATCCATTGGCATTGCATATAGGCAAAGATTCTTATTTGTTGTAAATATGAAGAATTTTGAATAGTCTGTAAGACCGTACGATGTATTCGCATCCTATACATAAAATAATATTTGAATGAAAAATTAAGGTCGTGTTCTTAATGGTTGGAAATATGTGTGGAAAATATTTTGAATGGGAAAATTCTTTTTTTCCTTTGTCGATGATGTGAAAAAGCGCATTTGCTTGGAGCTATTAAGGCGAATGAATGGAAGATGTTCGTGCGTGCTGCCTTATAGAACCTGATTGTAAATAGTTATTTGTTTGAATAAAGTATTGATGCAAATTGATGTAATTAACTTGAAGGTCAATGACTTGGAAGTTGTTTTAAGTCTTGCAGATTTGGTTTATCGATTCTGCAATTATCAAAGCTTTAAAACTTAGAATCTAGTGAGAATCATAACTATGTCTTCACAATAGAGAGGAAAGATCTGTTGACTAGCTCTCGGAATATCTGAAGAACTTTTCCTTAGACACACGATTGTATAAGGTTGCGGAACTTTTTAAACGTTTTGATCATTTTCAATCATTTTTTGTAAATTTGAAAGACTCCTAACGAATTTGTAATCAGTAACAAGATGTTTAATGTTCGATAATTAGAAACAGTCTAAATATTAGTATGAACGGGGTTAACAACTATACAATGGCAAATAAACTAATTATAGTTGCAAACATAATTTGAATATGAAATGACCGTTAATATTATTAACATTTTTGGATCATTTTCGATCATTTTTAATCATTTCATCAGTTCCACACCCTAGATCCTAGATATCCCTCGAAACCAGCTACAGATTTGCTCACATAAAACACGATGCTGTAAATTCTCCTCTGCTTTCAAACACAGATGATAAAGAAATAGAAGCATAGTCGCCAAAATAAATGATTTGTGTACACAAAATCTTGAATGTCTTTCAAGAGGTGAAGTCTAGGAACATCATTGTGTAGCTAACGAGGGGAAGACAACACAACGGGAAAAAATTTCGATGTGAAATTGGTGTGAAATTTCCCACCACGATGGGAATTTCCCATCGTTTCCCGTCGATTTCCCATCGCAATGGGAAATTTCCCGTCGATTTCCCATCACAATGGGAAATTTCCCACCACACTACAGGGCAATATTGAAGACAGCGAAAATCCAAATTTTTTTGAATGTTTCGAATTACACTCTCGGGGCATTTTTTTTTCTTGTAGAGGACATCGAAATTGACTTCTTGTCCTAATTTTAGGTCATTTGGAGTTATTTCCGTAATTCTAGGGCTGTTTGAAGACAAAAAAAATAGACGAAAATTCTGATTTTTTCCTGTACTTTTTGAACTTAAAGTTCTCAACAATGATTAAAGTTATTGAAAAACGCTTTTCAATCCCTATTCAAATAAAAGATTTAATTTAATACATTATGAAATTTAGGATGTATGAAAATCTTAGGAAAACTATCTTCGTACGTTCCGCAAATATCTTAGCTCTGATAAATACTGATTGCTAACACAAAAATGTGCTGGGGTCCCAAAAAAAGTTCAATATTTGTCAAGATATAGGGTACTTTTTGATTTCTGACGAGTTGTATCCTTTTCATATTTCTCAAACTGCTCTAACTCTTACAAAACAAAATACTTTTTAATCCGTTTTCAGTTTATTATTGCTTAACTTATAGTTAATACCTGATAGGAACAGTTCATGTTCGACAGACTTGTCGAAAGTCTAGGGGTGTTATAATATGCACGTTCGAAAAATTTAAATTTGAAAAAATCGTTACATTTTTTTGTCATTTTAGTAGAGTTTTTGATGGTTTTAAAAAGATTTAGCTATATTATGCATATTATTAAATGACAACATTATATTTTCATCAAAATTTCATATAAAACTTGCTTAATTTCATTTATATTTTTTCCTTATTTTCGAAAATTTTGAACTGCGGGGTATGAAACTTTGAATTTTGCGTGGCAGACAAACAAATAAGACATTTTCACAAGTTTTCTTCGAAACTGAAACGGTCGAAACCATTGAATTGTTCGGAACAGGTTAATACCATTCTAATGATGTATAATACTTGATGGTTACTTTTGATATTGGTCATGAATATAGGCTTTGTTTATGAATGACCCCAAATTAGAAAATAATCTCCAATAATCTCAAAAACGACATTTCTAGAAATACAACTTAGAAATAAAATTTTGCATAACTAAGACTATTAAAACTCAAAAGGAAAGAAGATATGGTTTTACTACCCGAAAAAATCTCCATCTAAAATATTTGCGGCACGCTTGAAGCTATTTTCCTAAGTAAAGTACCAAAACTACAAATTTATAAATTTAAATGTGCAACAAAATAAAGCTTTTATATCATACTATTAGGAACTGAAAAGCGTTTTTCAATAACTTTAATCCTTGTTTAATTTTTTTTAACTTCAAACAGCCCTAGAATTACCGAAACAACATCTTATTACCTGAAATTTGGTTATTACATCAATTTTAATGTCCTCTTCAAAAAAAAAAATACACCGAGAGTGTAATTCAAACCATCCCAAAAACAATTTCCAATTTTTTTTTTAAATTTGCCCCGAATTGGTGTCACGTTGGGAAATTTCCCATCAATTTCCCACTGCGATGGGAAATTTCCCATCGATTTCCCACCATGATGTGAAATTTCCCGTCATGATGGGAAATTTTCCCACTACGGTGGGAAATCATAAATTTTTTTCCCGTTGTGTTATCTTCCCCTCGGTAGCTAACAAAAGCTGACATGAAAAGACGTGCTTTTGCTAGACAAATCTAATAATAAAGGCACTCAGAAAGTATTCACAAATCAAACACACAAAGATTCTTGGAAAACAATCTTAGTGTAGCTTATAAAACATACGAGGCTATTAGGAAACAAAGCAGCAGCCTGACAGAATAGGAACTTTCTATCCATTTTCATAAGAATAAAATTCAGAAAATTTAATACTCCACAAATGAATAATATAACGTAAAGGAAAAGAATCTCATATCGACGATATAAATATTGAAATTTTTATACTCACAAATTGCTTCACGTATGAATCATAAATCGGTCCCATGAATGTCGCTAGAATCTCAAATGTATTTTTATCAAAGATTCTAAATTTCATTTGGGTGTCTGCGATAAGAATTTGATCTTCATGCTTCCTACTATTGTAAATTAAGGTCATTGACGTAGGTATTGCTGTTTGATAAATTCTCTTAGTAAATGTAATGACTAAGTTGCGGGAATTTTCCTTCATTGATTCCAATAAATCATATTCCACAATTTGCTGCATGTATATACATGATTTTTATTGTTATGGTAATATGAATAATATTGTTGAGAATGGAATGGATGATGAAGTATCGAAGAATAAGAAGAGCAAGAAGAAAGAACAAAATATTAATATTAAAGATTTCTGTGAACGAAAAAGTTTTTAATATTGTTTTCGTTTGAGATTAAAGATTTCTTACTTTCATACTTCGAAGCAGGGTTGCGATACAGCCAACTGTGCATAGGTGTGAACCGTACAATTCCTTGGTAATTTGTGGGGTTTTATTAAAATTTGTATAGTTTTTAGCGCATTTTTGAAAACTTGTTTTCGAAAAGGAAGCTTAATAATGCACTTTGTTCGTTCGTTCGTTTGCTCGGCTGGGCAAGCATAAAACTTTTTAACCAGACATCGTAGAGAGCTCAGGTTTGTTTTATTAGCTCCGTTACTATTGTTTATTGTCCGATCGAACAGTTAAAAGTCTTGAAACAGTGTATTTATGCTATAATTAATGAATTTTTGTTTTGTTTTCAGTGTAACCTGCTCAAATTTTATTTTACTTCTATAAATTCAACTTTACCTCTATAATTTCAAATTTTTTCTAGCCGTTGTAAAATTTTCAAATTTTAAAAAAAAACCGTTAAATGATAAACTTTTTCTATATGGAAATTCATTGCAGCAAATTATTGATTATACTATAATCAAATACTGATCGCTTCGTCAAAAATGCGCTGAAGGCCCTCGATCAATAACACGAGGACTTTTGTAATTTTTTTAAGAAAAACCTTATAAATTTTCAAGGAATTTTGAATTTGTATAGTTTTATTAGAAAAACATTATAAATTATCAAGGAATTGTACGGTTCTCACCTGTGCACAGGTGCCTGTATTGCAACCCTGCTTTGAAGAGAGCAAAACCGAGAGAGCTTTTAGATACTTATAAACAATACCTTTTTAGTATAATTTCCCAACGGTATGTGGGCAGTGATATTTATTTTGTCTGCGTGGCTGTGTCTTTGGTAATTTTACAGCGACATAGTCAGAACTTCAAGAGACGAAGTCACTGATTAGGCTTATAAAATTGCGTCATAATAATTCAACAGAATCTCAAACCAAACTTTCTACTTCAATATATGAAAAAATATATCATGTAAGCAACTTACACGATCCTGAGCCAAAGAAATCAATCTAGGAACTGTCTGAATGCTATGTTGATGAAAACAAGATGATGATGATGATGATGTTGTTGTTGCTGCTTTTTTTGTTGTAGATTGTGGAATATAAAGTATATCGCATATTGGCTGTGTATGATAATGAATTTTTCCTCCAACAATGAGCCACTCTTCTTCCGTTGCTTTGTCATGATACATAACAATCATATTGCCCTTAACATCCTACATAAAATGTATATTATATTATTGAATGCTCATACATGCATAGATACAACATTATTAGCATATTATGGCTTACATAAATGGCAACAAAGAAGGAATCCGGTGAAAATTTTATCTGTGCTATTTCACTTTGCATAACATTGAATGATCTCATCTCATGCAGTACATCAGGATCTAAACATAAAACAGTACCATTTTCGAGACCGCACATTAAATGATGTCCGTTACGTGAATATGCTAAAGTCGAAATGTGTGGAATTTCAATTACATCCATATCGGACATGGAACTTTTTCGTTTACGCAACTTCAATTGGTTCTCAATTATTTGCACTTTTTTATCGTAGTCATAAAGTACAATTCTGCCGGAATAATTGGCACAACAAATCAATTTCTTATTGAGTGGAAAAACATCCATCGCTGTGATGTAGTCGTCGGACTTGAAAAATACTTTTGTAAACTTCATTTTCGTAAAGTTTACAGCATAAATTTCATTTTGAGTTTCTGTTGAGATTGAAAAAGAGAAAGAAGAAAAGATGTGAATGGAAGTGCTGTTAAAGTTATTAAAGAGTCTAGAACAGTGATTCTCAAAACTTTTTAGGTTCCTTTATAAAATGACTGTGTCGAGGAGCATTGTTTAAGCATCACTGGACTAGAAATAATATTGAAGAATTTTAAAAATTTGGACTTTATAATTGAATTTATGCTCGCACGTTTTGCAGTCGTAAATAAAATTATAAAAAAAATATTTTTTAATAGCCGAGTGTGCTGAATTTATTAAGGCATGATGCATCCATTTAGTTTATTGGTGCATGTTCTATTTAATTTGTTTGTAAATAATTGATTTAGCCTGAAAATGTATCACATTGTTGAATCTCAGCCATAACCATAATAATTAAAAGCGATTCAACAATAGCTTGATTTGTAGGATGGAAAAAAGCTGATGACTGTGACTGAACTTTCAAATTTTATAGACTTTTGTACACATCTTCCAGTATCTAGGAACACCCATTCATTCAATCTTTCTTTGAAATATTTTATAGACATGAAACCATAAGAAGCTTGAAGAATTCATGAATTGAAATTTAATACAAAATAAGACAGAAATCGCCAAAAAACTCAGCGATTCATTGAGAAGAGCGTACACCCACTCAGTGCCGCTGGCATTGACGGTTAAATGTTAATAATAATTTCGTTCAATATTCGATAATTTTTTAGGTAAATCAAAGGAAGTCTCACACCGTGATTTAAGAATAAGAAGAAAAGCTTCTGTTAAGGATGGATGAAGAAATGAAAAGAAGAAAATGTAATTTAAGAATCCAATCCATCCTTTTAGAGAATGTTGAAACATAAGATTAAATAAAGGCATCAACGTAATTGAATTCTCTTGCTTACGAATTAGAAAATCTCGAACTTTGTGTTGGTTTTGCGTATCATCGTCAGCACTTCTCTTTAATGATGACTTATCGAATGATATTGTAATGACTGTATCAATAAAGTCATGAGATGGACACCAGAATATTATTTTCAATTCTTTATCATAAAATCGTATCTTTCCATTCGCATCAGCAATCACTACACAATCGTCAACAGATTTAATTACAGTTAATGGAGTCTCGCATAACTTTATGCTTTTAATAAACTCTCTTTTGTAAGATTCTATTCCACATTTGCGATGCATGTCAAATGATTCTATTTCCATGACTATAGAATTACTCCATACAATGGCGCTTCCGCATTTCGTAATTGAAATGGCTCGATTTGTATTCTCGATGAAAATAGTATCGACAAAAGTAAATGTTATGGAAATAGATCTTGCTGGTAAATGTCGTAAGAGCTTCATCTGTTTTGGATCCTATAAATAAATGGGTGGAGGAAAAAAATATTATTAATTGAGTTATGTTGGTGTAGTCGCATCCCGAGAGGCACATGGGTCTTGAGGAGGAAACATTTCAATATCGAGTTAAGAGAAGAGTTTCGGTTCCATCAGATCTCCCTTTGGCTACACTAATGTCTTAATTAAAAATGACTGAATAAACATCCTTGCCGTGCTGGTAAATTTTGTGTAAACACAACGAACGACAACCTTGATAAATGTTTTGAACAAAATTTCTCAGTCGATTAACTCCATGGCAACATGCCTTTAAATTGGTAGCTATAAACATCACCATAAGCCCCTCGGAATTCTATTTTCCATCATCGATACTCAAACAAAAATATCTCATTACCCATTGACCAAAAATAATTCCATTTCTGCAAGTTATGACGAAAATATTTGACATTCCATTTTTGATGCATCCATTGAATCTTACATTCTCAACTTGCTCATACTTTTCAGGAAGCTCAAACGAATCTCCAAGAGGGAATAAAAAAGATAAGGAAGAAAAAAAAGGTTATGAAATCTTTGGACTTATGGTGCCATTTTTTTTTATATGACATACCATTAGCTTTGTCAGTATCACTTGTAGCACCATATGACCATTGCCATAATTTTATCATACTTCTATTTCCATCAGATGCAGTGATAATGTTCTTACCATCAGGACTCAGAGAAACTTTACACAATTTTCTTTCATGATGTTGTTGTTGTTGATGATATGGGTCGTAAATAGTTCGGATGGGATGTGAAAATTCACTGTGTATAGAGAGATGAATTAGGAAGAAGTTTGTGAATTTATTTTATAGTTTGGATGTGGTTTGAGTGCATTTTTAAGGGGTTTGGAAATTGCAACTTCAAGAAAGGGAATTTCTTCTATGAATTGAATTGAAATTAAGGACGTGAATTGATAAAAATTAGCAGTTATGTCTTCTGAATTATCCACAGATGCAAAGGCCTTAGAGTCAAAACTCCTCAATTTTCAAAGTGCTGGTTATTGCTTTTAAACCAAAAGTACACCAGTCGCCTAACTTCTTCTTTATCTATTGCCAAAACATCGGGATTTTTTGACTTCCATGAAGATTAGAAGATCAATTAAAAAATCAACAAAGAATAGTTATTGAAGCTATCAAACCAGAGTTGCGTTACAGGCACCTGTGCACAGGTGAGAACCGTACAACTGCTTCTTCTTCTTAATTAACTTTATTATGATCCATCAGCTTATTGCTATTTAATGACCGTTCACAATTCCAGGTAGTTTAATTTACAAATATACACAAAGAACAATCAATAAAATCCAGTCAACTCCAAATGGTTGACAGAAAACATGCCCGCGATAAGTCAAAACAACAAAAAACCATCGCTAGGCAAAAAATTCTATCTTCAGTTGTCGATGATCCAGATCCCTTGACAGTCTTTTTTGTAATGAATCTGTTGCATAGGATAGACAGAATAATTCTGCTTTTCAGTTGCGCAACAATTCTGCAGAATTATTCTGATAAATTCTGCAGAATAATTCTGATGACAACATAATATTTCTGAAGATTAATTCTGATGAATGTTGCGTGACATGGATGTAACAAAACCAGAATAATTCTTAAGAACTTATTATACTGTTATGGCGAGATACAATAACTAGATTTAGATAGTAAAGTTAATAATCTCTTTAAATGCAATTGTTAAATACATATTACATAGTTTTATACTACAATATTGTCATGAAATCAATAAAAAAAAAAAAAAACTTATTTTTATTCTGCAGAATTTTTCTCCTGAATTTTTTTTCAGAATTCACAAAACAAATCAGAACCATTTTTTTTCCAAATTCTCCATAATTAAATTCTGTTTCAAACTGAAAAATGTTGTACTTCTATTTTAATTTCCATATTAATTTGTAATTGTGGAAAAACAAAGTCTTTAACCATATTCTCATAAAGTTATTCATCAGAACTTTTAATTATGGAGAATTTGGAAAAAAAAATGTTTCTGATTTGTTTTGTGAAATTCTGAAAAAAAATTCAACAGAATAATTCTGCAGAATAAAAATAAGTTCTTCAGAATTATTCTGGTTTTGTTACATCCATGTCACGCAACATTCATCAGAATTAATCTTCAGAATTATTATGTTGTCATCAAAATTATTCTGCAGAATTTATCAGAATAATTCTGCAGAATTGTTGCGCAACTGTTGAGCAGAATTATTCTGTCTATCCTATGCAACACACCCATTAATATGTTCTGCTGTATTCCGAGATGATCGATTCCTGTTTGTCAATGTTGATTTGTTGAAATCCAGTCAGCACCAATTGATTGATAGAACTTGCCCGCGATATATGGGGAAACACACAAAACCCATCGCGAGACAAATTTTCCTCACAATTGACGATAATCCGTTGTATTCCAATAATATTCAATGTCTAGGTTATGGTTATGATAGAACCTTCTAGTCCACGATTGTTGGTAAAACACAAAAAACCCACGTAAAACAATTGATTCTCCTCACAACTGCCGCCGATCGTGATTTGTCAATGTAATTAAATGTTCTTTGGTATTCCGATGATGATCAATTCCGTTTTATCTAGATTATGTGCAAAATTTGCACATTTTTTTCCGATTTCAATTTATATCCAAAATTTAATTAAATCGCGACTTTGCTGAGTTTTCTCCTTGGTATCTTTGTTTTTTGTTACTTTGAAGACAGTTCCTGTAGGTTTGTGACTTATTCCTACGCGTAATTAATTAATTTTGAAGTATTGCGCAATTCGACAACCTGCTCATTCGGAGGTTGGGAGAAAACTACCCTTCAATTTTTTAAGTGCCGCTAAGTGATTTTAAACCAAAAGTACACCAGTCGCCTTACTTCTTCCTAATCTATTGCCAAAACATCCTGAATTTTTGACTTTCATGAAGATTAGACGAACGATTGAAAATTCCACAAAAACTAGTTATCGAAGCTATCAAACTAAAGTTTATGTAAGTAACACCATCAATCATGATTTAGAGTCCTCTGAATCAATCACTCATGCAACATTCCACTCAAATTACATTCAATCCAGCCTGCTTTTTACCCAATCAAATCAAAGAACACAAATACCTCACTTGTTCTACTAGAATGCACTGGAAAGAATGCTCATAAAAAAGGGTTTTGTGGAAATTTGCAAACATTGATAGTAAAAAAAAGTTGATGGATAGCTTAAATTCAATGAATAGCTTAAAGTCAATGAATAAATCAGAAGTCAAATAGAAAATTGACACAACTTTATGATGTCATAACATGTCTATATAGCTTTCATGTGTTGCCACAGTAACACATGAACATAATAAAACCCTTGAGTTTACCGCATAAGAGTTTTCAAGTTCATGATTACAGAATCGAGGAATTGCAGTCATGTCTGATATGAAAGGAGCAAGTAAACCACTAATTATTTCAACCAAGCAACTTCCATTCTACCTTCTGTGAAATCTAAAACTGTTAATGAAAAAGGATTCAACGTACCTTGCAATTTTTATATCCCAAACATTTACCACACCACCTTCATCTGCTGACACAATAAATCGACCTGTTGAGTCGGTGTCTATGGCAATAATTTTGTTTTCCTGAGAAACAAGAAAAGGGGGAAAATTAAACAGAAAATATTTTTATGAAGCAGGTTAGAAATGCGATGGAATTTCCATGAACATATAATTTTTTTTTTTGATATTTACATGACCCACAAAGCACATCGTTTTGTTGCTATCGCAATGATAAATTTGAAATACTTGTGCAGAAACGGAGACGAAACTTTTTCCCATATCACTGTCGTTGACGGTCAAGTTCTGAATGGGAACGTTGGGTGAGAATCCAAAAATCCATTCGAGTTCCTTTTTAAAAATGATTATTGTGTAAATGACGTGAATTTCCACGCGTTCATCTAATGAACAAACTTACCAATGGCCTATTTTGCTCCATTTTCGCAAATTCATCACACTTTTTACATTCTGTGTCACTTCCATTTGACTTTTCATCATCATCATCACATTTTATACTGACTTTTTTCTTCATAATTTTTTATTTATTTTTTTTCTCAATAAAGGACAAAATATAATCCAAAAGCTGCTACAAATATACAATCCGGAATGTGAATGGAAACGTGTAATGGAATGCTGACTGACTTTTATATTATTTTTATTTCAACAACATTTTTTTTGTGCGCACGAAAACAATTTTGGTTTATTGGTTGCTATGATTTTTAAGGTTCTTCGTAATGCAAAATTGCAGCAGATTGTTTATTTATTTTTTTTAAACTTTACAGTCGATAGTTTTGTTAATAGAGTTACGATAACATTGACCATTCTAGTTACGAAGCTCGGTTCGTGTGTTGGGTGTAGCTTTGAGGTCTTTGGCACAGAATATGCCTCCTTTGCTAGGTATACAAGGATATACTAGCATCTGGATGACTTCCTTACGGCATTTTGCGCACACGAATTGTGACTAGGTACATTGCAGGGTACATCAGGTCTAATGACGTACTCGTGTCTTTGTAATGTGCAGAGCTTGCAAGTGGTTCGGATCCCACTATAAACTGTAGGTCTAAAGGTTGTGGTACAATAGATTCTGTTCTAATTTGAATCGCAGTGCCTCAAGCTGAAAGGCTGGGCCCTACACACATTATTAATTATCGAACAGAAATCCGGAACCAAGCTGCAGCTGGAGCTAAACTGGAGTGATTTCGCATTGTGCTGAATTCGATTTGGTGCTGTTCGGGAACCATTTGATTGATATTTGTTGGGTTTGGTTCCTTGTTGAGGCTTTATTGAGGCAAGAAAATTGATGCCAAACTTTGTCAAAATTTGAGCATTTTGCTATTTGAAAATTAAATTGATTCAGGCAAAAGTCTCACAAAAAAGATTAAAGGATTAGCCAAGAACAAGCTTTTCTCAGCATCAGTCGATTGAGGCATCCGTGAAAAGCATTGCAACATAGCCATGAAAAATATAAGTGCACTCTGTACTTGACTTTGATTGAGTTTTTATTCATAGCTTTAAAAACTATATTGAAAATTGTGTCGCGACGTCCTTTTAGAGCAAACTTGTTCTTGAAAGGTGTAAAAACAAATCTAATTTGTAATTACAGTAAAGTGCTTTTTGAGTATAAAAAGCTTTATTAATTAAGAAAACTTTCAAGACTGAACAGTTCAAAATTTACGATGCTTTCCATTTCTATTCAGATAATTTATTACGAAAATCTTAAGTTTGTCTTTATTTTGAGGATACGATAAATTTTGATCATATTAAAATTTATTGGATATTGTCACAACCTGGTTTGTGGGAGGGGGGGGGGGGGGGGGGGGGGGGAGATTCTGTTGCAAAAAATCATACTTCCTATTAAAATTTAAATGTAATTGAATCTTACATTCTTAAAATATTGTCATTGCAAGTAAATCTTTTAGGGTTCATTTAAAACTTTAAAGCTTGTTTAAAGCCTGCTTTTTCTTCCATTCCATTTCCACACGTGTGTAATGAAAACAACAGTTTTGTGGAATTGAATGGAAATTTTTGTAAGAATTATAAAACCAGTTTTCTATAAAAAATTTACAGAAAAATCAAAAAAACATTTTAGGAATTATTCTTTAAGTAAAATCACAAAAAGTCAGACGTAAAAATGAAAAAGTTTCTAATTTTATTAAGTATTTTAATTTCAACGACAATTGTAATTGGAAGTGAGAAAGCAGACGATTTATTAAGTGATAAGATGCAATATCCAGAAGAATTAGATAAAGTAAATGAAGATGAGAAGCAGCTGGTGAAAAGACAAGCTTACAGACGACCAACTGTAATATTTGATCTTTTTTCGTCATTCCTACAACAGCCAAGTTACAACTATCAACAAAATTATAACCAGCAGCGTCAGTTTTACAGACCGCAACAAACATTTCTTCAAAGTCCTCAATTCGGTGGACATCAAACAAATAATTATAATCAGCAAAGACCACAATACAACAATTATCAACAAAATCAATATCAGCCATTCAATTTTATCGACCATCTTAACAAATTGCCTCGTAATTCGGAAACATTTGGATATTATCTAGACCGTAAGTTCATAATGATGAATTTTAAATTAAACAATTAAATTGGAATCTACTGTAATTTTAGCTTATCATGGAAGAAGACTGCCTGAAAATGAAAGACATTTGTGGGGACCGTCAGAGTAAGTTTTAATTTTGTTTTGGGAAGTTTAGAGATCCAATTCCTTGATGGATGACATGATTATTGAAAATACTCGTATAAATTTCAATAACTGGATGTTCTTTAATTTCTCAGATCATACCGTGAATCATTAAGAGGAAGAAGAGCCATTTTCTAGTAAGTTTTTGATTTTTTTTTGACTATTTTAACCAAGGCGTGGAAACTCAGGATTAATCCGGAAAAATCACAAAAATCCCAAAAAAATCCCTCGGGATTTAAAAAGGATTTCACATTTTCATGTTTTTTGGCTCAAGGATTTTTTAAGATATTCGGGATTTTTCAGGATTAATTCTGAGTTTCCACGCCTTGATTTGTACTTATTCTACTTGTTTTGGACTTTACAGCTACCGAGGATATCAACATTTTGTATCAAAAATTGCATTCAATCCACATAGAGGTGTCAAAATGTATGTTGTGAATGTTGGAAATATTCCTGGAATCTAAAGAACTTAACTTAACAATTATGAATCTATTGACCATTGATTCTAGAGTTTAATCCATTTTATGGTATTTTATGTTTTTTTGAGTGATGACTGAGTCATGTTTTCTAAATTGATTCTATCCAGGCTCGGAAACTAGGAGGTTTGCCGCCAAATACCCCAAACTTCCATACAAATACCTTTAAATACACCCAAATACCTCAAATTCCACGTCTTCATATGAAATACCGTTAAATCTCGCCTTTAAAAATCCCACCTAGTTTCCCAGCCTGGGTTTCTATAATCTACGAAGTTTCCAAATCAAATGACTCAAATAGAACCCTAAGAATTCCAATTTCAGAGACAAAAAGTAAATAAAAGTAAGCGCCAAAAGCGTTATTTCCAAAGATTTTGCTTTGTTCTTGTAATAAAATGAGATGTGTGATTGAAAACAGAGAAAAAACATTAAGAATCACCAGTCACATGATGATTCAATTTCTTACAAATCTTGTTCGTTTTTATTTATAGCTTTATAGTTTGTTTACTGCTTACAATATATTACAATGAAGTGACACACCTACCTTATTTTTGAGTAGCACAAAAGCTTTTGAAAATGTTTAATAAAGTAAAGTTATTTTCATTCAGGATTTTTTTCTCCGACATCAGAATGAATGATTCCTAAACAATACTCAAAGTTGCTTACTTATAAGTTGACATTGAAAACCCCAAATCGACTTCCCGTGACTCTCCTAAGCAAACTTCCATTTATTCATAAACTTTAGGGGCCGTTCATTTATGACGTCCAGGGGAGAGGTTAGGGGGGGTCAGCAAGAAAAAAACAATAGAAATTCCAGGAAATCCATAGTTCTTTTTTGAAAAAATGACCGTTTTTTGGGACGTCATAAGTGAACGACCCAAATGCTCAAATGCGAGTTGCTGAATTTTTATGCATCATATTTGAAATAATTTACATGTCAGATGCTGAAGCTATATACAGATGCTGAATATGTTAATTTATTTGCTGTGTATCGTGGCATTGCAGCATGATGCAAATATTTCTTTAAGACTAATTTAAATCAGTATGCAGCGATATCTCATGAGAATGTTAATATTTATATCTTAATAATCAGCAATATTATCATTTCTATTTGAGATGAATAATTAATAAACAGGAACTTTCAGGAAGTGAAAGACTTTATTGCGTTTTAAACAAAAATTCTCCATTCCATTTAATTCCAATTCTGTGTGCTTTTAAAAAAATTAACATTTATGACATTTGAAATTGAGAAATGAGAATTTATTATAGAAGAATTCCCAAAGCAAAGGAAATGTTCTTTAACAGGCTGAAAATATGTCTGTGACTCTACATTTGATAAAACTTTGTGTTCATTTGTTGATCCGAGAAAAGGAAAGGAAAACGGAAAATGTTACCTCATTCAATCTTATAATCGAAAGGAAGTCACAATGCGACCTTTTGGGAACTGCTTCAAATGTGTATATAAAATGGAAATTTAAGACCCAAAAGATTTCTTATCTGTTGAGGTTCCTTAAACATTTCTTATTTTCTTCATGAAACACACAAAACTCTTTAAGTGCCATTAAATTACGGAATTACAAATTTGTCATATATGATAAGAGTGATGTGGAACTGGCAGGCTTAATAGAATTTCTGTGAAGAACAAAATAACAAATTTCTTTGCCTTTGATTTTCACAAAACTTTTCTGATTTAATTTTAACTTCAATCAGCTTGAAGAAGTCTCGTCCGGGACGTGAGATTTCGATTTTTTTAATGCAATCTGTCACAATGTGATCAGAAATTCTAATTCTGCATCGCTCATGCTTTCCATTCACAAAGTTTTTCCATTTTTATTTCTTTCAAGGTCATGTGGATGATGCCGGATATCTGTAGGTACGTTTTGCCATTTTTGATACGCTTACGGAATTTTTAATAAGACACAAAGATTCGCGGGATGAATTTTTCTTTCAATGACACAAATATGGAGGCTATGACTTACAGTTTTGAGGTATTTTTAGATGATGTTTTGAGGATTCAGATTAATTTTTGGCGGATGGGCTTTTTAGTCAATGAAATTTTGTGATTGTTGTGTGTGAAACCTTTTCAAACTGTCAACTCAACTTGAAATGACTGAATAGATCAGCCATTAAAGAGAATCAAACCCACGTCCTTATATGATGGTCCTTAATCACTCGACTAAAGAGTTTTTTTTTTCACGATACTAGGCTCAATTCTACTCTGCTTCGAGACTCTGAGTCAGATTGAAGTCAATATCAAAAAGAAACTAAGCAGTACTGATCTGTACATTATGTATGTTCAACTTACGATTGAATTGTGATGTATTCCCAAATATTTTGCTGAATCTTCCCGAAACAGGTTTTCTATTGTTCTCTAATTCTCTTTTATGAAGCATTTTAAAATCACATGACTTTTAATTTCAGGATTTTTTCCATGTCTTTGCATAAAAGGTAATTGAACGCATTAGATTATTACTCTTTGCTTCATCCAGGGACATGACCAATGTTTGGTAGTAAAAGAGATTTTGGAGCATTAAAAAATGTTTCTAGCTACGCCGCTGGCTTCATTGTAGGAACTTTTTTACGGGAATTTCGCAAATTTTGTCTATATAAGTTCTTCAAGCACAATTAATGTACTTAGTTTAATTCTGGATGTTCTTGAAATTAGAAGGAGTGTTAGCTTAATAACATTTAATACTTTTTAACCAGAAATGAAACTCTTGTTGATCTGTTTGCTGCTGATTAGTGTTGTATCTTCAACATTTGTTGTTTATCGTAAGTATCCCGAATGGCACAAGTCGCTTAATCAGGTAGAAATCCAGCGCCCAGCCTGCATGACTCTGGTATGTTGCTAGCTTTGATTTGAATCCAGCACCATGCCAGAGTCATACCAGCTTAGTGCCGGATTTCTGAACGATTAACCGACTTGTGCCATTCGTGTATAAATATCAATAATGATTTAATTTAGACATTTTACTTCAAAAATCATTTAAATCATCATAATCACCAGGCGCGTAGCCAGGAGGGTCTTGTCCCCCTCTTAAGCATTTTAGACCGTGTTCTCACTGCGGTTCAAAACGTTTAAGGGGGGGGGGGGCAAGACCCTCATGGCTACGCGCCTTATAGTCACCAATAACTCATGCTTACTTTCCATTTTATAAACTATTCACCAGGCTACTCACCATGGACAAGTTTCTATAGACCTTATTATCGTGGATATTATGGCGGATATTATGGACGAAGATGGTATCCATCATATGGCAGTTATGGTCATCATGTTATACATATTGGATAATTGTTTTAAATTAAAATCAAATAAAGATTAGAGAACGGTGTAAATTTAATAATGCGCATTGTAGGATTCAAGTTTTGATCGGCAAACATTTAATAAATTGACAATTTAAAAGTTTCACTTTCAAGTTGCTTTAGATTCCAATATTGCTATCCTTGAAAAAGCCCTAGAATTTTTCAAAATTACGGTCAATTTGACCATCTTACCAAGTGCTTACTATACACAAAAGACTCATTTCAGGACAAAAAAAAAACCCAAAAATCTTCACATCAGCATCGACAGCTTATTTCCATATTTATAAGTCTAATGAGCCGTAAAATGTAAATTAATCCCTACTTGAATTTTATCAGCATAACTTTTAATAAAATTGACAATAATTGTTACATAAATGATAATGAAGTGCTGGAAGTTCAAGGCAGCAACCAAAAAAAAAAAAAAAATTAAAATATTTATACACGACGTGATCCAAGTCATGTCGTAATGAATGAGTGTTGTCATTACAATGCAGAAAATTTGACGCCATTCAAATCCTCGCTGAGAGTTTACTAGAATTTTGTCTTATCATCATCGTTGAGTGAATATAAGTTTTTGTATTGACTTCACATTCAGCACCAAACTATATATTTTGATAATGAATATAATAATTTGAGATAAAGCAGAGAGATCAAATTTGACGGCATGGAAATGTTGCGGAATCACCAACACACGAAATATATTAAATTTCGCTTATGTAAGCACAACAAATTGAAAATTTTAATTAATTTTGCTTAACAAATTAAATATTCATCGAATCAATATTATGGATGTGATTAATGGCAGTTTTCAATAAAATCCATGTTTAATTACTTTTTACTATGTCATTTAAATTTACATCAAGCGAATTGTCATGAACTCCTTTACAGAATGTTTATTTAACACATTAAAATAAATCCATAACAATTGACGCTCATGGAGAGAAATGGAAGTTTTCTCTTTATTGCTTAAAAATTGTTCGTTTTCCATAAGTCAACCGGTATCAAACTACTTAGTATACCATGCGAGACCTGAAAGTTTCTAAGCCGCATTGTCAAAAGTAATCATAATCTTGACAGGTCTCTTTTGCGTGCCGTTTTTTTCTTTTGGATGAAAAGTGCTGTTTTGAATTTATTTTGTCTATGTTGAGTATTGTTTGTAAATGACGTCTATAATATAGGGGTTTTTCACTTATGACGTCCGAAATTCGGGGGGGGGGGGGGGTGGTCAAAAATTTTTTGACATATTGTGACATGGGAAGGAGGGGGTCAATTTGTGACAACCAATTTTTTAATCAGGAAATTATAATTTTTTATGTCTTGAATTGGACGTCACAAGGGGGGGGGGGTATTGACATTTGTCATCTGTGACAGTTTTGTGACAGAGGAGGGAAGGGGGTCTAAAAATTAAGTTTTTTGATGGACGTCATAAGTGAACGGCCCCATAATGAGACACAGAGTTAGATAACTGAGAACCACCTTAATGAACATGATTATGCGTTCCATTTGATCACAAACCATCAATGCTAAAGTTGAAACGAATTCGGCATTGTTTCACTCCCCTTAAAATTTAAAATAGTGGCAGTTCCATATTTTTAAATTGGATTTTTAAATTGATTCAAATATTTAAAAGTTTTAATTTGAGTTTTTTTTAAACGTAGTTTCATACCCCTTGTAATCCAAGACAGCAGCAATTCAGGAAATTTTTGGACAAGATTTGGAAGAAGAAGGAAATGATGTGATACGTTAAGAAAAAATTCTCAAAATTTAAAAACCTGCGTTCAAATTGTTCCACAACCTTCTTAAACTTATTGCCAGCTTGATGTATATCATTCGTGTCATTGCTGATATAAGCTTTTGAAGCTTAACATTATATGTTTCCTTGTGTCATAATAAAGAAGAAAAAAAGACAAATCAGAACAGCAATTGCTTCATGAATATTCTATAAGTAGAAAGCTTCTCGTGAAAAACTTTTGAATTTTTCTTAAATTTTTACAATAATTCTTATTTTAAAGTTGAATTTACAGCTCATGATTAATTGGTAATATGACAAGTAAATCTTTATGAACACATGAAAGTTTAATGATGTTGAAGCAATAAGAATAATAACGGAAAATTGAAGATTACATCATTCAGAAAATTGTAAGTTGAAATCATTAAATAAATAAAAGACTCCTCGATGCGATTCAGCTACGTTGTTTGGATTGTGTAGGCAAAAAAAGCGGATTTCTGAATGTTGAATCCATAAATTGAGAAAAATAAAGGTTTGATTGAAGAATTGTAATAAATTGAAATTGGGTTATTGAAATTGAGTTGGTTTTGAGGTTTGATTCTTAACTAATGCTCATTGATCATAAGTTCTACACTTGCCATAGAAGGAATAGTCAGCTTTCGTTAAACTATTCTATATGGCTTTATAAAACACATAATGCACGAAGCTTAAGATCTTATTGTAAAAGTGTAAAACTTAAGTTTATTTCTAAGATTAAAATTTAAATTTCACAATATAATTCACAATTTCAATTTTTCAAATCTGCATCGTAAATAAGAATCTTTCCACACATTCATGAATCATTTTCATGATCAAAATAACATTCATTGATAAATCCAATGACGCAGTAAATATTTATTTGCTACAAAATTTGTTGTTTACAATTTATGAATGAGTTACAGCGAACAACAATTCGCGCAAAAACTTTGCATAACATGTGGGAAGTGAATTAAATGTTAATATTTTTTAACAAAATTAAGAAAATGATAATGAAAACCACTATAACATTTTGAAATAAATTTGTATCGCATAATAAGGAAGAGATTTATATTTAAGAATAGATTCAAAATATTAGCTTAAAACATATTCTTTAAAATCATTTCTATTCAGCAATGAAGCTTTAATGTTCAACAAGCTCATCTTCTGAACGAGATTGTTTTTAAATTGTTAATATTAGGGGTCGTTCACATATTACGTCCGAAATTAACGGTCATTTTTCAAAAAAGAATAATAGATTTCCTGGAGTTTCTATTGTTCTTTTCTTGCTGACTCTCCTGGACGTTATAAGTGAACAGCCATTTACCAGATTGACCCTTAAGTTCGTAACCTTAGCGATCATAAATATAAAAAGACACGAGGTTTGAAGGGTTTGAACATTAATGATGTCTAAAATGTAAGAATTTCAAAGACCACTTTAATGTTGTAGGAAGTGCCTTAGGGGCCGTTCACTTATGACGTCCGACATTTAGGGGGGGAGGGGGGGTTCTAGGATTTTGTGACAGTTCAAACAATGGAAATTTTTTTCTATAGAATTTTTGTGACAGAGGGGGGAGGGGGGGTCTAAAAATCAGGTTTTTTGATGGACGTCATAAGTGAACGACCCTTTAACATTTAATCTAGTAAGGGGCCATTCACTTATTACGTAACGCTTTTAGGGGGGGAGGGGGGTCTAAGATTTTGTTACGGTTCAAACAAGGAAATTTTTTTTTCATACAAATTTTGTTACGAGGGGGGGGGGGTCTAAAAAGTCATTTTTTCGCGTTACGTAATAAGTGAACAGCCCCTAAGAAAATCGTATGACTTGATCAACATCATTAATGAACTACTTCTGTGGTAAATTTTCAAATAGTCATAACTTTACCTGATTGTTTTCATGACTCTGACCTTTGAATGTCAGTGCTTCTTCTTCCTCGCTGCCTAAGTGACTATAATAAATTTATACAAAACTCGTTTTCAATGTTGTCTACGATCTTTATGACGATGGAATCTCCTTACCCTTACATGAAAAACATTTTTTTTTTTCTTCAATGAGATTTTTCTTCTTGCATATGAGAAAGTTTCCTAAATCAATTATTATTTCCGAGTAAATGGTACCTTTATTGAAGATACAGCACAATTAATCTCTTTCTGTTTTTGTCGCTTAAAACAAAAGAGATTGAATCAAGTCAATAAATGTTGAGATTTTCGGATGATTAAATTACAATGATAATTATTATTGAGCTATAGTAAATTGTTATTATTACTTTATCTTCTAAAAGCAATCACAGTGTCTGAAAAAGATGGTAAAATTGGTTCTCAGGTCCATTGTTTTATTTTCGGAAATCGCATTTAAAAGTCTTGAAACAGTGTTTTTGTACCATAATAATTGATTTTTATATTTCATATGAAAAAACACGTGATGAGAGCGTTTAGAAATTTGAATTTATTTCTCCCGTTAAAAAATTTTGAATCTCAAAAAACCGTTACCAATTACCAAGTCTTTTTAAATGATTTTTTTTTATATAGATGCCGCCTAAATACGAAGCCTTAGCCAGCGAATTTAAATCTCAAAAAACCTTTACATGAGAATATTTTACAACTTTTACTCGAAAGGTCCATTGAGATTCGACATGAAGGTTCAGTGGCTGCACTTTAATAGAAAGGATTGTTAGAGGAGGAATTGAAGGTCGGAGGTAAATCGTTTTCATATGCCAAATAGCTTCACTTCTGTTAAAACTATCAAATTATCCATAAATGTAAGAAAATTCCATTTCAAAAAACATAAACTAAACATTTCCATTCTTCATCTTGTTAAATCTTTATCGGAGAATAACTGACACTTTATATAAACAACAGTTTCTTATTTCCATCTTTAACATGATATTTACAGTCGATAAACTACACTTGAATGACGTTTTCTTATCTTTATGTATGGAAAACAATTTCCGTTTTTCAAAATCTTCCAATTCATCCCCACTGTATTCTGCTGCGAATATAGTAATCTATAAAAAGAATCATTGATAACATAGGAACAGCTTCCAGCACATGTCAATCTTTAAGTAGTTTATGTAGCATTTTTCTTTCTGTGTAGATTGAGATATCAAAAACACATGATTGCATTACTTTTCCTTTTCTTCCTCATCTTTTGTCAATTGTTGTTCTTCGTACGTACATATTATGGAATTAGACGAGAAAATAGGATTAGAGCTCTATTGTTCAAGTTCATTGTTAAATTTTCTTTGAAGACTTATGTCACATGTCACATGATTTTCTTTATCTCTGCTTGTTGTCTTCTTACATTGATTGTATTGTTGCTGAAAGCATGAACGGTAATGA